CAACGCATATATATCATATTAAGTTTTCTAGACCATTCGATGGCACAAATAAAAATTAAAAGTTTTAAAATGATTTAATGGGTATTTCCTGCTTCAAACGTTACGTTTTTATTTCTGGTCAGATTAGAAATTATACTATTAAAAAATATAGCCATACACTATTGTCTTATTGTATGTTCGGTAGTACGTTATGTTTCTCTCCATGGTCTTTGCATCGGGTCTTCCTAAAACTGTTGGAGGATATCCGAAGGCTTATTCTGGTAATCGATCACAAATTATAAAAATAATATGTTTTCAACTAAACAGATGTCTATCTTAATTAAATATCAAACGTAATTTATGTAAAATACGTTAAGCTTATCAATTAAAAATAAAAGTATGTATTTGAGTTTGAGTATGTATGTGTAACTGTTGAGATTAAACAGAAACTAGACCTATACGGGTGGCACAGTAATCTTTAGATTATGGTACGAGAATATGCCTTCTGGTATTCGTTAATGTTTAGTTTACCTATGTGGACTAGTAGGATCACCTATTTGCTGAATAGCGGTCTACTTTTTCCAAGTTCATCAGCGATGGTATAAACGAGACTGCCTCGTTCATTATATTTCACGTACAATTCTAAATAACAAATTTCCATAACCAAAAAAATGTGATTGCTCAGTCAACAAAATAAAATAGACATGAATAAAAACAATAGATTAAAATTATCGAAGAAGATTAACATAGAATCTAATATAGTCACAAAATAGACAGAAATTCACATACTTATTAACTATAACACTGTTGAAGCTTCTTATTTCAAATGCTTACAATATCTAGAGTATAATAATGATATAAGAATATTAGATTTGCATCTATTTCTCTCTATACTTTGAGTTTATTAAACTGGTGTTTTATCGTTTATGTTTGTACATTTGTTTCATTTCATGCAATTTAATATTATAATGTACATAACTATTTAGTCGTAAAAGTTACTTTATCATATTTTTAACCAGCGGGCAAACCTAGAGATTTGATTAAAAGATAAACAACACTAATATTATAAGTACTATTGCACCGTTTTAATGCAATTTAACAATGTAAAATAATTTTTGCCACAGTGAAAGAAATAAAATAATAAAACTTTCACAGCTATGACTAATGATTTTTTAACTTTGATATGATTTATTTTAATATTTAAATACATACACTTAGTTCGAAATGCTTACCTCTAATACCTACTTACATTACACTACTCTTATTTTGCAGATCGTTTCTAATATTAACAACTATCTTTATTTTAATAAATAGATGTACTGAGTCATTTTCATAATTTTTTGGATGATAGTAATTAATAAGTAATACGTATTATTAACTATTTGGTAATATCATTTCAACATAAATGCTACCTAGATAAAAAAAACTGATTGGAATATAATATATATCATTATTAATGAATAATCTACTTTTAATTCAGTTGTCATATTTCAACCTCTTTCTACATACATAAATGGATAATAAAAATATTAAATCTCTACGTTATTATAATCATCACTGTTCCATTACTATTGTACTAAAATACGACAATAACTAATTTTTACCTTTTGAGTTCCATTATATACAATTATGTATATTTATGAGAAATAACGCAATCGCGTTAAAGGCGTTACACAACTAACAGTCTGACGCTTCCGCCGGGTTGTTGGATAATGTACACCGGCTGTGTCAGCCTTTGATCATACTTCTAACGAGATTGCGTTGATTTCCATACATATACATAATTATATTCAACCATAAAGACTCTCGGTGATGTAATTATTTTAAAAATACTGGCTATCTAGTTTTCATTTCTATAGCATGTTATCCAGACACGGTTTAGTAGCTAAACAAAATATCACAGATTGGAGGCGCAGCCTAAGACTGAAACCAATTATTGATTGAAGTGTATAAAACGTGTTTTATGACATCACATCTCATGTTTTTGATGAGTTATCTTTTGTTTAGTTATGATAACTGCCTGCGTCAAAGTACCTATTTAAATTTTGATGTTGAAAAAAAAATGTGTACATTACCTCAAACAGCAGTTAGATAATGTTGCACATCATTCAAACATTTATAGATTAACAATATATTGACGCTTAAGTTAACACGGCGATAGTCATACATTGAGCAGAACACGTTTAGCATATCTTTGAGTAGGCAATCGTACGCGTCATTTGGCGTGGTACTCGGGACTAGTTTAACCACAGGGATAATACCATTTTGGCGCTAAATGAGCTCGGTCTACTATAACTGACAATACGATCGGACCTAACCGTTTGATAATGTGATGTCATACAATAAGCTATAATATTTTTATGAGTGCAATTAATGTTAGAGAATTATATTTAGCTACATTTCTGTGGCAAATGTCGCTGTATAGTAAGTTATCAAAGAAGCACAAATGTAGAAATGAATACCTTAACATATTGTTTATGTTTAAAAATATATAATAATTATGTTTTACATAACACGTTATTTTAGTACATCGTAAACCTGTTTGAAGTCTGTTTAAAATCACTTTTAGTAACAATTTACGCTTCATAAATATTTAATAGATTTAAATTGAATATAACACATGTTTAAATACTTTTACGCAAAGAAAATCATTTATCCTCAATTCAATTATTTTATATTTGCGAAGTGTACAATACACCATGACATCAGCTGTTTGGTGTTTGTACTGGAGCCAAAATACTCTAATTAGCTTACTATAATTATGCGAAACGTAACTGTTTATTACTTAAAACTACCCTTTTTAAAATATATTAAAGCGATATAAGTTCTATGGTTCTAGCTCTTTTCTAACAATAAGGGATTCGTATTTGATGATTTATTTGAGGTAGTGACACAGTTAGGACCAAAAATCTGTTCACCATAAGCAACCAAATATTTAAGGGTTATCATTTAAATATTTAAAAATATGTATTGCTAAAATACCAAATATATCTGTGCAAAACAGATATCCTTAGGTATGAATATTCACGAAACATCTAGTTAATAATAAAGCCTGTAATTGAAAACATTTTTTTAGTAGTAGTAATTGGGTTGGTATATAAAATATACATATTGCAGCAGCAATCTGTATATTTTATATATTACTGAAGTGAAGTTAGGGTTCAGCGCTGAGTCCTCTGCTCTTTATACTAGTAATGAACCGCCTAACCGCAAATTTACTGATGACACTGATCTACGCTGATGAAGTGTCATCTACGCTGATGATGAGCAGTGCATCAGCGAAAATGCGGCAGTACTACAGCAAATAGTGGAGCAATGGAGAGCCGCGCTACAGGAAGCTGGACTTCGAATCAGCAAACAAAAGACCCAATACGTAACTGTAATTTCAGCGAACGAACACTGTAATTTACGCGACAAAAGCAACGGTAACACCATCAATCTCGAAGGCGGTGTGCCTAAATAGGGTCGACTGTTTCAAAAACCTAGGCTCAGTTATTTCCACAGACGCAACTATCGACTCAGACATAACTCAGGGAATTAACACAGGGTGGATGAAATTCCAAGAGCTGACAGGAGTTTTGTGCGATATGAGAATACCTGTACACATTAAATGCAAAGTCTATAGAATCGTCATATGACCCGCCGTAACATACGGCGCCGAGTGCTGGCCCCTCAAAAAGCAACAAGAGGATAGACTGCATGCCGAGGAAATGAGGATGTTGCGCTGGGCGGAGGGTGAAATGCAGCTAGACCGCATCCGAAATACCTACATCCGTGGTAGCTTCCGGGTAAACCCAATCCATAAAAGTTGACCTTCCAACTTGATAGTACGAGCATTTATTGTGCGTCGCCCACCTGAAAACATGACCCGAAAAGTGCTCAAAATGTTTCCGGTGGCAAAAAACCCCGAGAAAGACCCCGCATCACATAGAGAGCAATTATAGACAGAGAAATGAAAGATACAAAAATGTCACATCTGAGACGAACCGGGACAGAGGTCCTGGCGAAGAAAGTCTAGGTAAGCCAACCCTACATGATGGAATAAGCCTAGGCGAAGATTTAGATTGATGAATATATGTCCACAGTGAATGTAAATATATTCCTGGTCTTCTGACTACATATTTCGGTTCTTATTTTCGAAGTTGTTTGTAATGTGGATGCTTATCACTAGATAGAACCTTATTTTACAAATAACATTGCTAAGCCTTGCTTATTTTTATAAAACTATAAGATTTCAAATTGTGCCATAGCAGTTACACACTTCTTTTATTATACTCAATTATAGTAACAGTTTAATAAACATCAATCTATTTATATTTCAGTTTCTCCAATAAAATGAAATACATATAATATTATGTTTATACATTTTAAGTTTTAAAGAAAAGTACTTATTTTATAAAGCTGTTTCATACACATATAAATCACGGTTGTTCCACAAATAACAATTATTAAAATATAAAGTTTTACAAATATAAATCATTTTTTTTGCAACAACACCATTGTTTTCATTCCATTTAAGAAATCAATTTCTTAAAATCGTCTTATATTATACATGTTCGACTAGACAGCTACATATGTCAATGTATAATGTTAATAACACAAAACCATAATTAGTTTGTTTATTAATTAGGTTGCAACTTGTAATTGGCACACATGTGATTTATTTGTGTAGTTTACTTAATTTTACCAAGCACTTGCAGGATTTAAATATAATGTTCAAATACTGCAAATAGTTACTATAAATCCCTCACGATACTGTAATATATTCTTTAGATATACACGACACTGACACCTAATTTATGGCGTAATAATAAAAGACGAGGATTACATTATTTTTTCCCCTAGTTGCCTTGTAAAGCTTCTAGTGACTAAATCTATTATCGTTTGCAACCATACAAAAATAAAATTGTCCTCGACAACTAAGCTTTTATATGATATACATAAACTCTCTTCTCTAATTAACTTTGGAGGTACATAGAACAGCCTTTCGTTTTGTTACTCACATCTGTAGTTTGCAATGTTTATAGATCAGTCAATCCACCGTTAGGTTGTCCCGCTCTTACTTTGTCCAATACAGTGTTCACGAATTCTGAAGTTTTGCCGCCGATTTTTATTTCTGTAAATCATAAAAGCATTGTATTATTCACACTGAATAGTTTTAAAATATATTCCAACACGAGAAACAATGAATAAAAAAATGACCTTGTGAGTGTGTGAATGAGTGGTCTGGTCAGAGCTCAGCCACGCGAAGTATCGAGTTTCCCTTATTATTTTATTTATCGATTGAGTAAGAAGGTACTACAATTGCAATTGAGACAAATGCTGCCTTTTCTCAATATAAAATGAACATCACATCACATCATCACATTGGTATAGGGTTTGTGTCAAGTTTTCCTTCTCTCTGCAGTGCTGTTGTCCTGCGTAGTTCGCTCCCTTAGTCGCCTCTTACGACACCCACGGGATGAATAGGGGTGGTGACACTCTGTATTCTTAATCCGTCACCACAGTGAACAGTGAGACGAAATAATACCTTCGGACACTGCGCGATGTTCAGGGGGACTCGTAAAGAGGATCTCGACGTGTACATATGGAAACTAACCGATAAGATTGGTACAATTCTATTGAAAAGTTAGCGTCAGGTAACCAAAAAAGGAAGTGGAAACGAAATGTCTAGTACCTGTTGCTGTATTGACTATGTTCTTGATGTGAGCATTCCAATCAACATTATTTTGTGAATTAGTCATCCGGCTGCTTAATATTTGCTTCATTTGGTGTATTCCATTCAAGAGACGTTCTGAAATATAAAAAACGCTACTTTATAATCGTCGTAATCATTATAAACAAATCAATAAGAGGTTTGAATTTTTTTCTGACTTCTGGCCTAATGTTATTAGAGTTCATAAATTAATAATAATAATTAAATATACACGGTGATTTTATAGGCGCGAAACATTTTAATTTGGAATCATCTATAGTACCAATAAAAATGGTTAAATCAATTGTAATGTTGACTAAAAAAAAGTTTCAGTTTTAATATTCATTTTTACTCGATCGACTTGGAAAGTAGTACCTAATGCACTGATCATTCATTTATTATCTTATATGAATGAAACACGTCCGTGGGCGTTTCGGCGGCCGATGCGCACCGCTGACGCTAACAGCAGCTGATAAAAGTATACCTATAGGTGCGAGCTAGCGAGTACTTACGTAGATAGACTCCAATTTGTCCTTCATACTTTACACGGGCTTAGGACCGTCGGAAATACCTATTTTATTTAAACTTCTTTTCGATTATGAACCACGATTGTTCTTTTCACAACAAATCAATTTATCAACGGACTGTAGGTATAAATATTTCAGGCGCATTTAAAAAATCGTAGCTATCTACTGAATAATTAACTTACATACCTATTTACAGTTTATTTACACTTCTCTGTATCGAAGCAACTGCTCCAAAAGGAGTCCGCTGCGTTCAATACACAAACGTCCACGTTTAATGCAATTGTTTTTTAATTTTCTTAATGTGTCTCTATCACTTTTCACTTTAACAAAAGCGTCCACTATCGCAATGCGTAAATCATCACGGCTTTCATATTCCCGTGTAGCAAGTCTTTTTATTTCCGACCATAAGAAAAAATCCAGGGGCGTTAGGTCCGGGCTTCCAGGTGGCCACGGCACAGGCCCTCCTCGACCTATCCACCGATCACTAAACTCATTGTCCAGGTATGCACGCACTACACTCCGGCGAATAATAATTTAAACGTCCTTGACCTTGCGCATGAGTAGGCACACGAAATTGTCCGTGGTCGAGAAGACGTTGGGTTGCAGCCAAGATGGTAGGTGTGGAGGGAATTTGAGGGCTTTCAATTCCACGTAGCCGTAGTGCATTTAAATGCTCCGGCTGGGAATACAAACGCCGAGCCTCTTCCAAGTTGTAGTTGGCAGTAGCGTACAGCTGTACCATTGCCAAGTACTCCACGTTTGAAAATTCGTACCGTCAACTCATTTTAGCGCTTATCAATGTAGCGTGCCGTCACGATGTTATGGTATTACTGACCGACTGGGAAGGAGGCCTCACGATTGCAGGTGAGTCTCGCGCATGCGCCTCAGTGCAATGCCGTCATTGGTTGGACGACTCCGGCGCAACTCGGTAGCTTTGTTTTTATTGGCGAATACGATTTTATGTGACACGATATTAAAACGTATTTCTATTTGCAGTATTTACCTACGTGTGATTGAATAGCCCTACTACTGGTTCTCACTTTTTCTCTGTAAACGATATGAATATCGACTTTGATGAAAAAAAAATATATATTTTATTTATTTATTTATTACAACTATAACTAACTATATAACTATTTTATTAAATTAACGTTATATGTAGCTTCTGTTATTGATAAACAATTCAAAATTTTCTTTTCCAAAACGCTTTCAAAATCACCGTGTATAACATATTTAATTTTTAATATTAATTTATGAAAAAAAAGACTTCCATTTGTGGCGTAAACATGGATCAGTTCGAAGCACCTGTTGCAGTTACTTTGGTCAACCTCATATTTGTACCTTCGAGAATTCTGTGGAATTATTTAGAGAAGACAACCATACTTCTCTATACGAGTATATAAAAATGTGAAGTCAGTTTGTGTACGCTTCAAAAACTCAAAAAGTCTTAACCGATTGAGTTAAAATTTTGACAGGATGTGTAACACACTTCAAACATTGTTTTAATCTACTTTCGCGTCAGCTATGTTCGACATTTCTCATCAATGTAACCACAATGTGCCCAAAGCGAAGCGTCGCAGGGAACAGCTACATATACAGCTGAATTTGAAAAGCGCTGCTTTAGTGGATTCGATGCCCGGACCGGGCAACATTTTATGGCCTAAGTTACTCCTTAAATAGGCAGCCACATGGTAGTAAAACATTATCAAAATTGGCTTTGAAGAACAGACAGACGGACATAAAATATTTAATCTGGTTTTTAGGCATAAGTATCATGTAAATAACCGTACCTGCATAAAGAAAAAACCTATTATTTTGACATTACAAACGGACACTTCAATTTCATTTATTTGTTTAGAGTGTAGATGTGAAAGTGAGTTTGTATTACCCTTCACGCCTAAATCACTAAATAGATTTTTAAAATTCTTTTACCAATTGAAAACTACATTATCAGCGAGTAACATAGGTTACTTTTAACCTCAATAACCGACATACACGCGGGCGGAGCCCGGGGTAAAAGCTAGTCTGATATAATTACTAAGAAGTAGTAAGAACTTTGTACACCGTTTTATAATAAATACGGCACACAGGAAGCCTATAATATTTAGAATATCATCACCTTTAATAGTCCACTGCTAGAAGTAGGCCTCTACTTAAAAAGGAGGTTTTGGCCTACTATACCACTGGCCAGACGGGTTGGTATAGGGTTTGTTTAAAGTTTTCCTTCTCTTTACAGTACTGTGGTCCTGCCTAATTTGCTCCCTTAGTTACGACACGCATGGGATGAGTAGGTGTGGGACACTTCGTATTCTTAATCCTTCACCACACGGAAAAGTTGAAATAGCTGAGGTTCAAAGAAGGAAGAAGTGCAGAATAAGCTAAAATTTCTAAACGATATGTTATAAGATTTAAAATTTATAAAAAACGAGTACATAAAAGTATGTAAGTTCAGTACGTGTTTTGACCTTTCATGGTATTAAAGTCTATGCAATAACAGTAACTGGCCAATGAATAAAAAACCTGAGAAATGTTTGAAATTCAACTGCCATCAGACGACGTCTAGTTAATAAAGGGTGATAAGGCGCTACTACTATAAACAGTAATTAATTAATAAAAACAAGCTTTATCGATACAATAGTGGAAAAAAAATTATTCTTTATCGTCATGGAAACATATACATTTAGTAATAAATGCCCTACTTTCATACATATAGGCCAAAACATCCTTTCTAAGGAGAGGCCCATGCCCAGCAGTGGATTAGTAAAGGCTGTTGTCATGTGATAGCTCGTCACCCATTCGTGTCTAATTTGACTAAGTATAAATGTATCTTTATATAATCTTAAATAGTATAATAATTTCCTTGTACCATATTAGTTGTAATTATACTCACTGTGTTCATTCTCTAAGCCATGAAGTTTCAATTTGTTTGCTTCATGTTGTGCTTTTTTCTTCAGTCTGCATGCGCGTGATGCTAATTTATTTTTCTCTTTTCTTGTCTTCGGTCTTATATTGAACGGCAGTTCGCTAACCGGTATCATGTCATTTATGACTTTACCTAAATTATCCAGCTCTTTACCAATAACGTATAGTTTCCTTGGATTTGGTGTCAAATCATTCCCATCGCCTTTTCTAGCCTTTCCACTGAAATAAAAACAATAAATTTATAAAAGAATCAAAGTAATTTAGAATAAAACTAGGTATATTGATATAATCCAGACTATATCCCCTATTCATCCCTTGGATGTCGTAAGAGCCGACTGCAAACTGTGCATGACAACAGCAATGCAAAGAGAAGGAAAAGTCGACACAACCCCTATACCAACCCGTCTGGATAGCATGGTATATTAGGCCAAAACCTCTTTTCTACAGAGAGGCCTATGTCCAGCAGTGGACTATTAAAGGCTGTTGATTAAACTATATTGATATAAATGAAATAAAAAAAAAAAAAAAAAAAAAAAAAAAAAAATTAGAACTAAATTAGTGTACAGTACGTATTCAAATATTCTCTCTATTTTACGAAGAAATAAGGTACAGATGAACCGCCTAATTGAGTCCTCGCCTGCGCAGTACAAGGGTGCGGAGGTGGGCGAGAACGGGTGTCGGGAGAGGTGCGAACGGCGGGCGCTTGAAGAAAATAAGAATGCCGCTCCCCACTTCATTACTCCGCAGGCGAGGACTCAATTAAGGGGTTTATATAAACAAACATTTAGTAACTGACTTATTGTTTCAAACTGTAATCGATGGACGTTCTTTCACTACATAATGTTGTTATGAATTTATTAATGCGTAAGGCAGCACATAAACAAAGGAAGCGCAAAACTGCTCTGTGTGAAATCCGTTAAAAATGCCTATTCCAGAAGGAATTTAGATGTTGACTTATGACTGATGCGGTGGTTGAACTGACGCGGCGTGGCATTATCGTTATCGAATAGCGAAATTAATTCCGAACCCAGGTTCGAAATTTTTTTTGTAAAATATCAACAAAATTAAATTAGCACGAGCATCTTGTATTTCGTTTACAACATACCACCACCATATATGTAGAATAGTTGTTTGTATTGAATTATTGTTGTAGTTTCAATCTTAACATATACCATACTAATTCTTCTATGCGAGGGTTGAACTTCTAGGTTTTTTTTTATCGTGTGAAAACTCCCACGACTCATCTCCTGTCAGGAGCCGAGGGTGAAGTGGTATGCCAGATTCGAGCCGACTTAAACCACATCGTGTTCCTTTATAAGTGAGTCTATTGCAGGGTATCTAGGATACCCTAAGTCTCCGCCCAATGCATGGCCTGAACTTATGTTCTATATCAAATAAAATTTTATTATTATTACTATAATTAATGAAAATGTAATTAGAAATATTAATAGAATTTATTACCTGTGCTTGATACCCCTTACACTGCAACTGGGGCTGAAAACAGGATCAGTGACTAAATTCAAGATGTGTGGGTCTTCAGATTTATTTTTTAAAATAAGTCTTTGACCTTTGGGGCCTTTAGCTTGGACATTGTATTGCCAAAAAAATCTCTCTTTCTTCGAACTATGACGAGGTTTATTGTCTGACTCATCATTTGATTCTGTAACGAAAATATTATCCTAATAAGAACCGATTATCTAAAAAATGCTAGATATTTTATTTAAACGGTAAACTTCTAACAATAAAGAACCTTAGGAATGTCAGAAAATACCAAAAGTGTTTCAAAATATTGTTACGAGTGATGTATATAATAAATAAAAGTTGTAGGTTAATTACTTTTATTCATTGAGTTAAAACAACACTAGAGAAGCAAACCTCATTATCACACGTCGAAAAAAGTGTAACCACTTTTGAACTTTGACGACGTAGCTTTGATACCACTAAACATTTGAATGTAAACATATTTATGTCTCATTTACACGCGAGACAAGAACAATACCATCGCTCGGATTAGACAAAGACAAAGATATAACTTTACGATGGTGGGCCAGTGTTGACTACCGTATGAAATTTTACCCATAACAACTAAGAAACAATTTTTTTTAAAACAATTTTGTAATAAAATAAATGAATTTAAATATTCTAAATAATATATTTCGAATTGAATAGAATAGGTATAAATAATAAAATAACTGGAAATATTTGGTTAAAAGGGTTTATATTCAGTGTAAAATCAAACTGCGCTGTGAAGCATCAGTTTTGTATACAATTGTCTTTTAGACTCTTTTTTATAAGTTTGTGTGGATATTTTACTTTCATGATACAATCTTATTTTTACGTATGTAAAAATAATAGCATTTAATAATAAAAGTGAATGATCAACTTGTACTGATAATTAATAATCCCCAGGGTGTATTGCAAATTCTATTATAATTTAAAAAACAAATTAAAAAAAAAAAAAAAATATTTTTATTTTATAAAAAAAATTATTTATGTTTATTTACTTTTTATTTTATATTTTTATTTTTATGATAAACATTTATTATTATTATTATTTTGTACAATTATTATTTAAAATTGATAATAAATTAAGAAAAACAATGAATTAATTTTTTTGTACAAAAGTCTCCAGCACTGCGAGCTTGGCACTTCTGCCAAGCTCGCAGTGAACGTTCAACGGGTCCCTAAAAAAAGGGATCGGTCCAGCCCTAACAACTACCGTTCTTCCTATATTTTATTATTATTGGCAAAATGTTTAAAAACAGTATAAAGCATATTATTTCATAAATTATAAATTCTCCCACTAATGTGGGAAAACCAAAATGATTTTTTAATGGTAACACTGATTCTAAATTACAATTATCAGTGTTTTATTTCAATTATAGCCTTATTTACGATATTATCAATACAAAAACCATAAACTTACACGTGAAAAGTAATTCCGCATGATTTATTAATGTTTTGTGACCTTGAATCGCATTCTTTCACTACGCATTTAGCCATTTTGGCGATTGTTACTGTCATGTGCCGCTATGTTCAACTCGGTTGACGCCACATTGAATAATGAATTGACGTTTGCTACGCATATGCCTGTGGACATATGTGCAGTAGCAACGATTTTAGGCGGTAATTACTCATCTATGTAAGTATTATATCAATGCTTTTATTGCACTGTATTTACAAACACTCACTATAACAAACAAGAAATCACTATTTAACTCGTTAGTCGCACTAGAAATTCACTTCGATTTTAATTCGCTGTGTCTTAAACCGATACTATATATCTCGTACGGCCAACGCTATCCGCTTTTTTAGTGATATTGAATTTACTAGAAAGATCCTTAGTATTCGATAGTCCGTTCCAGACAAATAAGAATATTTCAGTATCAGTAGTAAGCGTTACTTGCAGCACCATCTAGCGTTGTAAGTATCAGAATTATTAATCACAATGCGTAGCGATGTGCCCTATTTAATACTAGATGGCGCTGTCCTCCACATTCCATACAATTCTCGAACAACCAATGGCGTAATAATTAAGTCTTGTGCTTAACCGGACATCTGCAGGTTCGCACCGTACTAGTACAATTCGTACTAGCACACCGTAATAGTACTATTACGGTATTAGTATTCTTTATTAATCTGTAATTAGTACAGTTTTAGTACCAGTAGAAAACTTAAGCGTTTGTATTGATATTACTAACAGTAATGAAACGGAATACCAAGTAATTAAAAAAAAAAAGTGTTATAGAATTTTGGCAGACCGCGCTTTTTCTTTTTCTTTTTTAATATAGATGGCTTTGTATTAGGCAGTTACTTTTCTTCAGTATAGGAATAATTATACAGTTCTTGATTAATTTGAATGTGTTATCCCTTTCTGAATCCCATAAACCCAAAATCAATACGAATGTTTAGATTACTTTACATTAAACTTTTAAGCATACTATAGTTACGTGGAGCAGTATGTGTACTTACGGGTCAATATTAATAAAAGTCAATATCCACTTACTGTTATAATTATATGTTCTGTACACAACACAAAATACTTTTTAAAAGACAGAAGGAGTACAAACAAGAGACACACAACGCGACACAGAATAAACTGTCCATACACAACACTTTACACTATTTATATAATTTTGTTTGAATTTACTTAATTAAAATAAAGATGGAATGTCAACAATAAGACGTGAACGCGCAGGCTGTAAGGGAGCCATGGACCAACTGACTTAACTTACTATACGATCGTTCTGGAGCGATCCACATCACTCAACACTATAATGTAAAAATAATAAGTGCCGTGAATGACTTGAGTAGTGTTAAAAAGTAATAAATAACTATTTCCAAACCTTAAGTGTTCAGATAAATATGATAAATGACTGTGAAGCCGGAGTTCGTGGGTTCGATTCCCACTTAGGACGAATACGAGTGTTGTGTGAATTTTTTTTTATGATAGTGTAATTGCTAAATGTTACGTGGTAGGGGTGGGCCCTACAATACTATTTGATTTTCCTTCGTACTTTACAACCCAACGTATTGTAGTACATCGCTGTCCCTTTTACTCTCACACTGTTTACCAATATGCCACAATAAAGCGGAGCATTAATAGTACGTCGCACAACGAACGAACGTAGACACACTAAATAATAGGTAGTTTTAGTACTGGCTTGAAGTTCACACTGTGTACTAATAGTGCAAAATGTCCGATTAACAGCTGCCTTTCGGAAACATTACTTTTAGTACAATACCCAATACTAGTACCTATCAGTACATCGTACGTGTACTACCCAAGACTAGCAATAATATGGTTCACAAATATACCATCTTTACATCTTCGGAAGTTTTAATTAGTCAAAAGTCTAAACAAATTTATGTTTTTGAATTTAAATACTTTAAAATAGTCAGTGCCAAAAGTTGTAAATAATAAATAAAATAATATGTAAAGATGGTGGGAAACAAATTACATAGTTAAGCATTATCAAATCCATACCATCGGAAGAGAGATCTTCATATCTGTCACTATCTTCATCAGACTCAATGTCGCGATCGTCTTCATCTTGAGAGAAGTCAACAGTGCCAGGACTAAGGAGACCTCCAGAGAGTGATGATGCAGATCCTGCCTCAGCCAAAGAACTTGTGGATAGCAAATGTTTCCGAGGTTCTCTGCGTTGCCAAATCTATATCAGAATAATAACATGTAGACAATAGACAATTAAAACCCATACCCTACCAACATAAGAAAAATCATTAAATAGGAGTATACATTATAATATAAAAAAATATTGTAATATATTTTACCTGTGTATCTCAAGAATATAAAAAAAGTAATAGTGTTTTTTCTTTGTATTAATAAATATTAAGTAATAGGTTATGTTTTTATTTTCTTAGTTTAAAATTACTTGTTTTCTTTATTTGTACCAAAAAGCTAGAACTGCAAAGCTGCAGTTCTTTGCTCCCTCTGAGGGAGAATATCTCGCTCTAAGCAAATTTTAGGGTTGAGTTTGTTTTATTGTTTGAAGACAAAATGATCAGCAATATTTTTGCTTGCTTTGAAGCAAAAATTCTGCTTTGCATAAAGTAATAAAACACAGCATATACATTTAGAACCATTTTGCATGAGAAAGGGTCTTAGATTGTAAAATAAAAGGATCAAGTTCCTACCTATGTATCTCATATGGTTCATACTCATACTACATGGTAGCCTATGTAATGTATATATAAAATATATATAAAATGTATTTATTGGCGACACTTGATTGCAAATATCACTAACTAATTAGGTACCTATTAATCCTATTATTATACACTGACAGCTCACTATTGGCTAGCCCAGCTGCTAAAGTGGTGTTACTTTGTTTACAATAAACAAGTGCTTATGACGTTGAATGACAACTTGTTAAGTGGGTGATCCTTTTTATTGAGTTCATTCGAATATGGATAATCGTGCTAATTATTTTGCGCGTACATAAAGTATTGCCTGGGAAGTTTTCCAACGAGTTCCAGCGTTAACTAAGGGCACTGGAGAGCATGACTTCGATTTGCTCATTAAGTTGTTGGTATATCTTATGAGGCTATTACAGAGTTATTATGTGTTCAAAAGAGGCAGTTTCAATGGTTAGAGTGTAGAAAAAATCTTACGGCCTTTAAACACGGCGTTGTCTTAACGCGCGCCGACGACGCGCTGGCAGTAACCCTTTGCAAAGGTTTAAAAATTTCTCAGCGCATTTGTATCGATACGAACGCGCTGAACAAACGTGCTGCAGTCGCGAGTAAATAATGTAATTCGGTGTTGATATGAAATGAACTCGCACTAGGTCCTCTGAAATCTCTGTGTTTTCGCCAGTGAACTGAGCCGTAACCCTACCGCACACACCTTTCTCCGACAATTCAACGTCAAAGTAGAGCACATTTGAAGCAATTCAACTCAATTCGTAAACGCGAAAATCATGTTTTTTGGTGCTAAATACATTTTCTCTTCTTAAGACATGATACCGTGTTATTACAGTGCTTTTAGGTGGTACGTAAGTATAGGCAGATAAATGGCTAAAAATACACTAGATTTCAGTATACAATTAAAATTTTCATATGATAGTTTTGTTTTGGTTCTGACCGAAACTGAAACAAGAGCCGAAAGTTCGGTTTCGGTTTCAGCTGAAAATCCTGTTTCGGTCGGACATTAGTACAGCCCGGACCTAAACCCTAAACATGTTACAGACAATCTTAAAAGGTATAAAGTCGCATTCTGTCTCCTGCCTCTATTAATGTGCTCAAGATATTGCTGTGGTGGTCGGGAGTGGGAAAATATACCGCAGTCATTCAAGATTAAATAGTGTTCCAAATTGACTAGAGGAGAATAAAAAAGAAAAAGGATGCTTTACTTGTTTTTGTAATTTAGGTTTTTAATTTCAACAATAAGGTTTGGATTGTTCATCACCTCTGTTTTGGTTAGCACCATAATTTAACTTTTGGAAATAGATTTTAGTCCTGATAATAATGTGTCCTGTAATGTGTTTAAATTTGAACAAAAAACCCCTTAATTTTATTATTGTCTTTTTAAGCCTATCGTCATCATAGTAATTTAATAGAAATAAAACTGGACTAAAGTTAGGAGGTAGCTTAAATAAAACATACAGCAATAATGCCTTGTTTAAATTCTGTTAAAAAAATAAACTATAGTAATATAGGATTTACATTACTGAAGTGGTTTATTTTTATATATATTATATTTTGCCTTTTACTTCCTCCTTTTGCCAGACTATATTCATTAATTTTTAAATTTTTGCATAATATTATTATGTTATAAATTACACACTTTATCTTTTCATTGTTATAACTGCTTAGACAACAATCTTTTGTTAGGTTTTAATTATTTATTAAGATAATTTAATAGTCCAAAATAACAGCATTAATCCATTGAGGAATTCTCTGTTTTTCGTTTCAATGGGACCACTTCAGAACAAAATTAAGAAAATAATTATGAAACAATGTACATAATTCTTTTCTAATTAGGGTATTCTGATGAATAGCTTTACAATGAATGATTTATAACACATTTTTTTTTGAAGATCAAATATGGCTTTGTACTTAAGCAAACCTATACCTAAATTTTATCTTTGTAAACCATAAGAACATACCAAGCAAATACTAAAATATTCATAGTAACCTGTTCCATTGTAAGATTAGTTGGTGCTGAAGAGGAAAGCTGTGTAGGCTGTTGTTGAACATTAGTAGGGTATGGTGGCAGTACTGTGGAGGCAGGAACAGACTGCCCCAAAGCTATTTCAGCACTATAACCATCCATTTTAAGTAGAAGTTCCGGCAACTGATTCATAGGCTGAGCAAAACTTGATGAAGCAGAACTATGTTGACTTGCAGGTGAAAACGCAAGTTGGGCTCTATTATAAGGACTGCAAGGGCTATCTCCAGGTATAATGCTACTAGGCTGCATTGTGTTAAGGCGGCGTGAACCACCCATCACTCCTCCAATCTGTACACAATAACCACTCTCCTCAGGCAACAGTAAATCATCAAAATTTAAATCATCCAACAATGTGTCTGGGTTAGCGTTCAACTCAGCAAGTGTTGGTCCAAGTATTAAATCGGCTTTGTCTACTTGGAATATATCATCATCATCCATTCTGAAGCTTTCCACTTTAGAGGAATTGTCAGTTTCAAATGCTAACTTGTTGTATTGCATTGTGGGCATGTTGTGAAAGGAGCCAACTAAATTGTCTTGAAGACACAAATCTAAATCTGTGTTAAAGTCGCCGAGGTCGACACGCCGTTGCGGGATCGGTACGGAGGCTGACATGGTACCTAACTCTGATGGCGATTCCTGTTTTATCTCTATACCTGGCTCAAGAAGAAAGTCATGTGTGTAAATAGATTCCGACATCGCACGTGTTTGTTAACAGTGACCTTGACGTATAATAGTCTTGTTGATAGAGATTGGCGCACGCGTCTTACGTCTTTATCGATTTATTCACAGCAAAACCCACGTGCTGTATCTATTTTATTTGTTTTATTTATTTAAACAAACTGCTCAAAAAAGTCAAGACAAGTTATAATAAATATTATTTTCAGGGTCAGATCGCGATATCTCATCCTTCGATTATATAACGTTAACAAAATACAATTCTAAGCAAAATTCTAGCACTTGATATTCACAATGACTTGCGATATCAAAATTAGACACAACAGATTCAAGAGTGTATATTTCACGTTATTTTTTATCACATGCACTTTATAATCAATTCCAAAACAGTTAACGTAAGAAAAATAACAAATTTCCTTATGAAATTCTGATAGAACGAAGAGTTACACACAATAACAAAAACACTGTTCAGATACATGAAGTAAACAAAGATTTTTCTTATTATTATTCAGCAAATTCAAAGGTCATTAGAATGAGAAAGCGAATCGTAAAACCTGTTGGAGAGAAAGAGATGCAAGTATATTTATTTTATATGTGTCCAAAGACGGAAATGGAAAAGATCCGCAAAATTAGAGCTGAGACCTTTGCATAGATAAATAAATTAGTATCAGCTCTATGGTTGTGTTAAAAAATTATTAGGCAATAAAATGCAATGTCTAACTTCCACTTTTACGTAGTATTACAGGCGTTTTGTTTTAGAAATACGTATTCTTATTGAATAAGTAAACTAGAAACTAAAACAAATCGTTAAATAATATGACCTGGTTATATAAATAATATGAAACAAGGCAAGTAACTGGAAAATATTATAAACACAAAGTTAAAAATATTAAAAGCTATAATCAATATTTTTTACTGTAAAAAAATAAATTGTACATAGTAGTTTATCAACTAATATACCACATGCTACCCATTTTATTTGAATAAAGTAAATATCGAGATAGTTTAAGACATTTGTCAAATAAATTTAATAATAATTGAACTTACACAAAATCTATGATATGCCTGTGCCGATCTATAACCGACCAATTGGTTAAGCCTTATGAGAAGAAAGGACAAACAAACTCATGGCCACTCTTTTGCAATTTACAGATAGATACAATGGCATCATTAAATATACCACAACTTTGTTTTGATTTGTCCAGTATGTCCGTTATTTAGGACTAAAAGGTAAAAAACCAATAAAGAGAAAATAAGATTAAGAAAAAACTGATAAAAGAGAAAATGAAGTGAAACATAAAAAAAATAAAAAATATATAATAAAAAAACACTCTGTGTGTGGGCACCACATTTTTACTTAAGAAATAGCCTGCGCTAATTAACCCCAAGCATTTTTGTCTTCTACGTAATTTACAATTGAGTAATAGGCTTTCTCACATAATTTACGTTTTTTTTGCGGATATACTCTCATATATTTTTATAATTGATTCTTACATACTTCGCTGTCTCAGTGACCCAAAATGTAGTTCGGCCCCAACTTTAAAATGCTGCATTATTTTCTTTTCTGTGCTAGTTCAGACCAATCGGGCACTATCATCTCTTTCAGATCGTTGGCAACTTCATCTTTTGAGCGGTATTTGGGGAGTCCCACTAGCCACCGCCCGATGGATTGCTCGAGATATGCTAATATATATGATATTTAATATTTGATGAGTCAATAAAAAATTTAGTTTAAAAAATGTCAGATTTTAAGTACCCAACTAGAATTAGTTTGTTAGTAGATTTTAAATAATTAATTGGTTGTTAAAAAATGAGTGGGCTAGCTCTATTTTAACCATCCACAGATTATCATTTGAAGCAGTAGTGAAGTTAGTGAACACTGAACTGAAGGACAAAGATGTCGTAACCAGCTGAACGTCAAAAGAGCAGTGACAATACTCACAAAATAATACAAGTTTTAACCAATTTTTAATATTATGGGTGACGAAAACCTAAATTCTAGTAAAAAATGTGAAAACAATAGTTGTAACGTCTTAATTATCGGCGCTGGGATGGCTGGTTTGTCTGCCGCCAATTATCTTTTGAAAAATGGTATGGAAGACTTTATCATTTTAGAAGCCAGAAATCGCATCGGTGGTCGTATAATTTCAATACCAATGAAAAATCAAAAGGTAGAACTGGGAGCTAATTGGATCCATGGAGTTTTGGGTAATCCAATTTTTGAAATAGCTATGGCCAACGGTCTTGTAAACATAATAAACATACCCAAACCGCATAAGGTTATAGCAGCCACGGAAGACGGCAAGCAAGTTCCTTTTGGCGTATTGCACGAGATACATGAAGCTTATGTATGCTTCCTAAGACGTTGCGAAGAGTATTTCTTGTGTCAGTATTTACCACCACCAGACATACACAGTGTTGGTGAACACATCAATTTAGAAGCAACTATTTACCTAGAACGCTTACCTTCTTCAGAGGAAAAAAAACTGCGTAGGCTCATATTTGACTGTCTGTTAAAAAGAGAAACCTGTATATCTGGCTGTAACAGTATGGATGAAATAGATCTCCTTGAGTTAGGTAGCTATACAGAATTACAAGGAGGTAATATCATGATACCAACAGGCTTCAGTTCAATTTTGGAATCGCTAACTAAAAATATTTCTCCTACCAAAATACTAAAGAACCATTCTGTAAGTAAAATAAAATGGGATTCAGATGAACATAGGGTACTGAAAAAATTAGAAGATCTGGGTGAAGAGTCGGAAGATTCTGATCAAACAGTCATTGAGGATATATCCAAAAGTTCTTCTGATACAACTGCAAACCCTAAAGAAGGCACATCTTTTACAGATATAACAAGGAAACCAAAGAAAAAGTTCTCCAATAGTGTTGAAGTAGTTTCTGAGAATGGACAATCTTTCTATGCTAATCATGTGATATGTACTATTCCCCTAGGAGTTTTAAAAGACAAAGCTGGAACATTGTTTGAACCAGCATTGCCACAGTATAAACTGGAATCAATTGAAAGATTATTATTTAGTACTGTAAATAAAATATTCTTAGAATATGACAGACCATTCCTAAACCCAGAAATTACAGAGATCATGTTATTATGGGAGAGTTCAGCTTCACAGGAGGACATATCAGATTCGTGGTATAAAAAGATTTATTCATTTAGTAAAGTGTCGGAAACACTTCTATTAGGATGGGTATCGGGCAAAGAAGCTGAATATATGGAATCATTACCAAATGAAACGGTTTCTAGTACTTGCACAAAGATATTGCGTAAATTTCTAAATGATCCATTTGTTCCTGAACCTCAGAGATGTGTTTGGTAAGGACTAAATGTCTAGATTCTGCAATTTTTTTTTCATTTTAATTAATTGTCTATACTAGTTTTCATTTTTTTTTAGCACAAGTTGGAAGAAACAACCATATACAAGAGGTTCATATACTGCCATAGCTGTAGGAGCCAGTCAAAGTGATATTGAAAGTTTAGCACAGCCCCTATTCAGAACAGTACATGATAAAAAGGTACTTAACAGCTTTGTAACTAGCCCTAGACTGCAGTCACGTACAGTATTACACAACAAAGGGGTGTTTTTCAGTTAGCTAGCTAGTTCAGCTAGTTAGAAATATTTAAGATGCAAGTCAAAAATTTCCATTTTTTTTCATATTTCAGCCTGTTTTGCTCTTTGCTGGAGAGCATACACACAGCAATTTCTACTCGACAGCTCATGGTGCTTATATGTCTGGTCAAGCAGCCGTGCGCCGATTATTAGCTCCAGAGGAACCAGAAGAAAATTTTTTAGAGTGTTCAGGATCAGCTGACCTGAACTCATGGATTCAAGGCATACAACTTGAGGGTTAATAATTTACAATGGTATGTAGACACTCAATTGCTCAGTGCCTAAGTACAATACGACAAGCACTACATTATCCATTAACCATGACAGAGGCTGTGTCTGTTTTACTCCTAAGGATTGTGATTTTGTTTAATCCTAATGTGGCTATTAAATAGTTCAGAAGTTATGTGTTTCTACTATTAGAGAAACCTAAGTGGTCAAGGTATTTATTTATTGAATATTGACTCATTATACTACTAATTGTAATATAAATATTAAATTAATTTATTTGCTCACTTTGAATTTTTTTGTTTTATATGTATGAGTAAAATGTGAAATATAACAAATTCATTGTAACTATACAAATAGGTTTAAAGTCCTGTCACAATCATATAGTAAGTCACGGGCACACATGACAGTATTTCTTGTGAATTTATTGAAGTGAAGAAAACCTACAAGAGTTAACCACAAGTATATTATTACAAAAATGTGCATGGGATACTGTGCACCTATAATTTTAAACATCTTGGCATATTGTATGTTTGGATAGCTTGAAGTAGTAGAATTACTGCTTAGTGGTATTTAAAAATATAATTTCATTTGGAAAAAGACTAAAAATTAAGTTGAGAGAATGTTGTTGAATAGTATTATACCAATTACTTATTTACATCCTATAACTTCAACTTAATTATACTGTTTAAAACTTAGTGAGAAAAAAAATGGTTAAAGTATTACTATGTTTTACTCTACTACAATGCACAAAAACATAATTCATATGGTGATGAATTTAAACTGCTTAAATGTGGTAGAGGAATGTGATCTATTTTTTTATCTACCACCCCTCCCCTTGGTGGGTCGAGTGGTCACCCGTAGTATATGCCGAGACCCCCTCTCCCACTTTCGTTTCTACGTCGTAATTCATAAATCTGGTTCTAAATCATTTTTTGCAGACAGAATGTATGAATTTTGCTTAAATTTGCCTTTATAAATACAGTGCTTGCCACATGACGTGTGTAGGAGTGCGTACATTTGGTGCTGCGCGCCATATTTGAAAAAAAAAGCACGAGATATCCCTGGAGGACATCGACTACGTGATAAAACCTAAGCCCTCCCCCCTCCCATATGATCAAGCGTGATACTTTGAAGACCACCTCCTCCCACCGAACAGGTCACATTAGTATGCATATAATTACAGATACGTTCCCCTTAAATAATGCAACTGTTTTCATCAGCAAATGAATATCCTAACTAAATATTTTTTTGTTTATAGAAATGGTATATAATATGTTTATGAAATGCAATAATTTCTTTATATTTTTAGTATAAAAAAACAATCATAGGTAGTATAATGAACTTATAAAATTCTTGTTAATTTTGGCCAGGTTTTTTAATAAGCTCTATGATGTAAAGCAAGCTAAAGTACGATATTTAAGCTATGGAAATGTTTGCAATTATTAACCTAGTGTTATCTTAATGCATTTCCAGAATTTAGAATTACATATTAAAATATAATTAGGTTATATATTCGATTTTTCTAGTCAATGCAATGTTTTTTTTTGTATCACTAATAAATCATCAAACAATAGAAAATCTTTTAATGACCTAATAATAAAGATTGTTATTATTCCTAAATGCTTAAAAGAATGAAAGTAATACAACAAATACATGATTAACATTTATTAGTACATAAACAGTATAGCGGATTAATAGCATTTTGTAAATAAAAATAACTTAACAAAACATTTGGTATACATTAAGTTATAAAATATAGATGTTAAATATAACAGTCTACCTATATAATGGCTCCAGAAAATATACATATAGTTATTTTGAGTATGTAATTATTGTGAATTTTACATATCACATTAATTTATCACTTAAATAACAATGGAATGTTTTCTTGTTTTTATATAAAAAATAATACTCATTTTTTACTACTAAGGTGGCAAACAAGCTTACATAACATGCATTGTGTAGCATACAACAACAATTTCAGTGAAAATGACACAATGTAAAAATATCAAAATATTTTTAATAAGAAAGTCAAACTAGCAGATACTATGTTTGTTGTACCTCAAAATTTTATTAATTTGTATTTCTTTGCAATTTGGGTGGATATGTGAACATAGCATACAATAAGGCCACTCTTAATGTGATGTTCACACTACTACTAATGTATTTCTACTATTTTTTGTTATGGATTATTTGTAGTCCAATAATAAATATTTTTCATTAAATAATAGAAGTTACAGGTACACAGTGAAATTACCTTACTAAATTACATAAAACTTGTGTTTAATATATTAGTGCAGTTATTGATAATACATGTTAAGCTATGAAATATATTCCCCTTTGATTAATAAGTATGACACAACAGTATACAACAATACTTAGTAATTAAGAGCTGTATATAATCCATATGATTTTCAATGTGATAAAAGTTTTACAGTAACACAAACAATTAAAGATAAATCATTTTAAATTTAGTTAAGTACTAATGTTAGTAAAATATAGCTTATAGTATTTGAAGTAACACATTGACTTGACAATATTATGATGTCAAGTTTACAGTCACTTACTTTACTTATTTTGTACAACAAAGTGGCACAATATTAGTGAGGACTACTATTATATCTATACACTAAAAAAATATTATATCAATGCCAATATAGCATATGAATATGGAAGACTAAAAGGATGGGAATGTTTGTTTTTGACTTTCCCTGATAAAACAATGTGTTAAGGATGACCAATAGTAATTGTTCTTTTGCTATACAGTTTTAGAAGTGAAATAGTCTATTAGCAAAAGTATTGTTATGTTATAAAGGGAATGAATAAAAACAATATATATACATGTGCATTTTGTATAATGGTACAATCTCTCTGAGATTGAATTGCATAAATCCATTCAGAACACAAATCAGTTTCATTAATTTGATTAAAATAAATAAAATGTATATAAGATTGGCCATCTTTATGAGGGATTGTCACTTAATGTATACATGAAATAAAATTAAGTGTGTCAATAGACTTTCACATCAGATCTATAATCTTTGAGATTCTCATTTCAAATATTACACAATAAAGTACAGATTATGTCAATAGACTGATAATGTATATTACAAACTTCATTAATTTTTAAATACCAGAACAACATTAACGTACCACATGTAGTTCTATAGATGAATTTTTAGTTGTTATAATTGAAAGCAGTCTGTTTTCAATATCAGTGTGCAACTCTTGCCAGACACACTTGCCTATTAATGGTACCTCTTCGAGAGGTGCTCGAAAAGCTACAAGTAGTGTAAGGCAGCATCCATCTGCTGCTGGATCATGTTCCAAGTTAAGTAGACCCAATGGGCGGTGTTGACCTACATCAGCTCCAAACATCTCAACCATAAATCTTCTCAAAGTTGAATGAACACTTTTTCCTGGATTAATTTCACATGTTGGATAATGCAAAGCAGTTTTTTCACTCAGTAGTACATGCAACTTATTCGTACTTCTTTTTTTGATAACAACAATCAACCTCAGTAAATCTTTAACATGTGGTGTTGATGCTGGCAGTATATGACCATGCCATAAATTACTGTTTTTATTTTGATGGTAAGCTTGAGCCTTCTCTATAAGGTGTATTATGTCATTAGATCTTAAAGTGATTTCTTGCAGGTCAGCAACCCATTTGGCTTGTAAGGACTCCTTATCAGCCTTAGCTGGTGTTTTCAATTCACCACCAACTACTTTTGCAGTCATAACAAACCTGTACCACATCCCGCCTGCAGTTTCTACTACCAAGAGGGTGGTAGGTGTACATTCTAGACCTGTCTCTTCAAGAACTTCTCTGGCAACAGCTTGCACAATACTTTCACCTGTCTCCATACGTCCTGCCGGTAGATACCACTTACCAGCACAACTCTCCTTTGCTTCTTGCATCATCAAGACCTCATTAGCTTCGTTTATAATCACACAAGCAACGACGTAAGTGACGTTGCTGCCAAGTACCGGTTTGAAATTCGAAGGAGTGGTAGGTGTAATACCTTGAGATTCTGCGACAGAATTTTGATCTGCGATAGTGAAATCACATATTCTATGTTCTTCACCGTCTAGACCCAGACCGTTTAATAATCTAGACATACTAGTTGAAACTTGCTGTGACATATTTACCTACTTTTTTTAAATTTAAAATCACTTTAAACAGTCTTTTTTTATATAATCAAAACATGAGAATACATATAAATAAACACTTTACACACAATTTAATCGTTGCTTATTATATTTTAATGTTTAAATATTAAACACACATTTAGGATAAAATACTTTGAAGTAATTAGAAATTAGAATATAAGTCAACGTCAAGGCAATGAAAGTTTTTTTTGACAGCGACAGCTTCAAACGCCTTGTGCTTTTGCCATTAAAAAGTAAAATGTACAAACATTAATTAGAATTTCGATACGTATGAAAAATTAAAAAAATGTTTACATATGTCTATATAAATATATGTATTTAATTGCTAATTTATTATAAAAAAAATTAGAAAGAGTAAATATTTATATTAATACTCAGGAGATCGCGAAAGGAAAAGAAATTATATTTGTCCGAAAAGAAAAGGCACTGTAAAATAACCTGATGAGTTGAAGAACATGCATAGTTTAAGCGGATATATTTCTTGAGTGCGGACATATTTCTTGAAAAGGGATGGAAGTGAGTAACTGGAACCTATAATAGCGCGTGCTATTTAATTTGACCACCGAAGACAGATTTTTGTTCAGTTGTTATTCATAAGCCTCAAATCCTAACAGCATTACCTTGAATTTCAATACTCGTAATAAGTCTGTCGAATAAACAAGCCTTATAATAATACTAGCTCTAGCGTCTATGTCGGTTATCGCGGTTAAAAGTAGCCCATGATAACATGGCAAGCAACCTGGTCTGGCCAGCGTGGTATAGTAGGCTATAACCTCCTTTCTAAGTACGGGCCTTTTTTTTTACGTGTGGAAACCCCCTCGGGCCGTCACCCCACCGGGGTTTGCGGCAGGGTGGTGTGTCGGAATCGGACCGACTAAAACCACACGGTGTGCCACGCTGCGCCTGTAATAGGAGGGATCCGGGAACTGCTGTTATTAAGGCATCCGGACCCCTCCTATCGCCTGCCCGCAATGGCGCGGGCACCACCTTCGGGTACATTCTCCATTTAGGCGACGTCCGGCACACGCGGATATCGCCTCCTCGCGGCTGGCGTTATGGCGGGTGGAGGGGAAAACCCGTCCCGTCCACATGCGGCCATACTCAGGGCGGCATGAGGCGGTGGTAGGCGCGCCTCCGCCGCCCGGTTCGACGGCGACGGATTGGGTCCGAGTGGAGGTTGTGAGTCTTCTAGATGAAGTCTTCGCAGAAAGATGCGACCGCGGTGAAACATCTGTCACTACCGGCCATGGAGCGTATGACGGCTGGCAGTGAGAGATCCCCCCCGATGACTCCAATGAGAACCCGGCACTACGGCGCGCAAGCTGGACAAATTGCCAGCGTGTGCTGAGCCGAGTCCTTATTTCAATCGCAGTGGTGACAGGTGGGACTCAATTCCCTCCTGGCGACTGAGTGCAGGTGTTTCCCGAAGCAGATGTGCCCGGAAAGTACCTGCGTCAGCCCGAAAGAAAGGGTCCCGTGCTGCCGCCCTGCCCACTCGACTATAACCGGCAAAAGTGCCTCTACGGCCGCAAAGCCAGCACGTGGAGGTTCCAGCCGGGACGACCAACGCTGCTATCGTGGCTCGACGAGCGGCCTCACGCCACTCTTCGGGCGGGGGCCGACTGCCACTATCCACCCTATACTTCGGCAAGCACTTCCGCCTCCAAATCCCACGGGGGAGTACCGGCCAATGCGCAAGCCGCCTCCGTCGAAACGGTGCGTTAACCGCGTATGGCTCTAACCGCCAATATCCTCTGAGGGCGCCAGAGGCGTGCCCTATTCTGGGCGGTCAGAGCCGCCGCCCACACCGGTGCACCGTATAGTGCCATTGACCGGACAACCTCCGTGTACAGCCGTCTCGTTGCGACGCTGGGTCCACCTAAATTAGGTAAAAGTCACCCAAGGGAAGACGCAGCGCTTACCAGCTTTGGAGCAAGCTGGCGGAAGTGCTCGTCTAAGAGCCACCTTCCGTCGAGGATCAGGCCCAGATATTTCATTTGGGCCTGAACTGGTACGAGGACCGAGTTGACCACGATTGTGCCCACGACGGGGCCCATGGAATAATAGGGCCTCCGTCTTATCTAGGGCCACCCGTAAGCCCAGCGCCTCAATGCGCCCGACCACCAGAGAAACTCCCCTGGTGGCCAGGCGCGCCGCCTTTTGAAAGTCCGCCGCCCGGGCTGTACCTAGCGTGTCATCAGCGTAACAAACAACGCCCAGCCCGTGGGGGAGGCGACATCGAAGGGCCGGTCATGTTCCACAGGAGCGATCCAAGAACAGACCCCTGCGGAACACCGCACGACATGAGCCGACGCCTCAAAGCACCATCTTGGTCCTCGTACATGATGGTACGTTCCTCTACGACTTAGAACTTAGAGTCTGAGTAGTCTGCCACTAGCCGCCTCAGGTACACTGGCACCCCATGATAGTGGAATGCTTCCCTGATGCAGCTGAATGGCAGACTATTGAATGCATTGGCGATGTCCAACGACATCGCCAACAGCACGCCGCCACGGCTCACCGCCTCTTCGGTCACAGTCCTAAGGCGCAATACAGCGTCGACCGTCGAAAACCGAATTGGACGTCCGACAGATCCGGGCCCACCTCGCAGAGGTGCCGGACGATTCGGGCAGAGAGAATTCTCTCAAAAAATTTACCCGCCTCGTCCAGCAATTTGTTGGGCCTGTAGGCCGCGACCGAATCGGAAGGCCATCCTGGCTTCCTCAGTAGGACCAGCTTCCCGCTCTTCCAGCACTCAGGGAAACGTCCGGACGCCAAGCTAGCGTCGGACACCTCCCTGAGGCTGTCTGCCATGTGGTGGAGGGCTAGGAACAACACTCGGGCCGGTATCCTGTCTGGCCCAGGGGCGGTGTTCTTGGAACGGATCCGTAAAACAGCCGCCCCTATCTCCGAATACCGGACGGGCGGAACATCATCCACGTTCTCCCCGCCGTCGCCGGCCATGGAGGCCATCGACGGGTGTGTGTGCTCCGCCTGTTGCGGGAATAGACCCTCCACCACTTCCTACTGGAAACTGAGAGTTTCTGTAAGAGGGGAGCCCGACGAGCTTTTGCCGCACCGCGCGATAAAGGCGACCCCAGAGGTCACAATCGAGGCCCTCCATCTCTTTTCTTTTCTAGCTGGCTAACGGCCAGCTTCAGAGTTTTCCGCGCCTCTCGGTACTCCTCATGAAGCCGGTCCTCCTCACCGTCTTCACGGTGACGCTCTAAGTACAGGCCTATGTCCAGCAATTGACTCAAAGGCCGTTGATGATGATGACTACAGAATATCTTCATTTGCATCTGATTTTTCATAAAACAATACAAATGTGTTTTCTTTATAGGTTACTCTAGCAAGCACCGCACCCTCCGATTTGTTCCCGGGACGGAGGTACGACCTGAGCCTGATGGCTGCTCTGCCCAAGCATGCTAATACTAAGATATTTGTTTTAATGAGATGCTGTAAAAATCAGTTTTAATCTAAATTAAATAAACAACGTATCTAATGTACTTAATTATTAAAATAATATAAGTGTATTGTTTGAAATAGCTTATAAATGCATATGATAGTAATATGTAGTCTATAATATAAATGTGTTTAATATATATATTATGTATGTATATGTATACTAGATAGCTTTTGCTTGTCGTTATGTCGGTCATAGCGCTAAAATGTAGCCTATGTTACTCACTGACAACATAGCTTTCACTTGGTGTAAGAAAGATTCACGATAAAATCGAAAGAACGAATCCCAGATATAGAGGTTTGCTTCGTCCCACTAACAAAAGTAATTCAGTGCCTTAGCATGAGTTCCAGTCATGGAGGTTTCTTACTTATCTAGGTCCCACTTAACCAAGTTTCACTGTATTATTAAAATACTAATTAGGTAATCTTATAATTTGCTAATAAGAAATTATTGTTACTGCCATTGTGAAAAAATATATTTTTCAATTTAATAATAAAAAAGTTTGACATAATTTTGTAGCATCCAGAAAATGTGGCCACACTAACGACCGGGCGCTCGCTAAAGAAAGTGACAATTTGCTGATAGATCGTAATAAAGCCGTATAAATCTGAAAAAAAGTGTTTTAATTCTTCACACTCAACATTGATCATAATGTCTGTCACGAAGGGAAATGTGTTGGTGAATATTCCTTTCCATATATAATTATTTTTATAACTACAATGTCTAAGATTTAATAAGTTACGTAATATTTTGTAGGTTCGTTCCTTGAGCACGTCGGCTGCTGCAGGTCAACTTGTTAAAGCTCCCGTGCAAGTATTTGGGTTGGAAGGTAGATATGCATCTGCTCTCTACTCAGCGGCGTCAAAAAACAAGACCTTGGATGCCGTTGAAAAAGAACTCTCTCAGTTCCAAAAGTCTATCAAGACTGATGCAAAACTCAAGGAATTTATTGTCAACCCAACACTTAAGAGAGATCTTAAAGCTGATGCTTTGAAGCATGTTGTTACACAGGTAACATATTCTTTTTATATTTAGTTACAATCTTTGGCTCTAGAGGACTTGAAAATGAAATTTTATCTAAGGCAATAGTAACCACAATAATCCACATATGCGCAAAATATTTGTAAGGTATTGAGAATTAATAAAACACGAAATTATTTAGCTAAATTCATAATAAAATGGTGAAGAGATGAAATTATCCTTTGAAGCTTAGGATTTGAATATAAAGAACATTTTAAATTAAACCAGTCCTCATCATGAACTTCTTTAAGAAAATCTTAAAAGTGACAGTTTTAATATCAAATAATAAAATAATATTTTTATTCTCTCAGTGGTACTAGAGTTTTAAAATAAAGCTACACATTGATTTATCTAAACATGAAACTGAATAAATCTTTAGTACAGGGTCTAAACCATAGAGTTAATATATTACTAGAGTAAGAAAGCTGTCTGTATTTGCAATAGCGAGAGAAACAGGTCTTACATCTCTCTCTCTGCTCTTGAGTGTTTGGCTGTCAATCCCCTACAATAACAGGCACGATAGTAGGGGACTATTACGGTTCCACTTCTGGGCCGACATACAGCTAGCTCTATTTATATATTATCTCTATGGTCTAAACTGTGTATAAATACATCACTCATAACCTGAACAATGTTAATAAAACTCAATAATTATAATTTGGTTGGTCAATAATCTTTTATATATATTTAACATAAGCTAAGATCAAATGATCAATGTTTGTAGACCTTACCAGCTTTCTATGAAAATTTCTTATACTGTTATATTTACATAATGGGTTGGAGCTGGGAAGTTAGGGGTTAAATTTATGTTATTTTTTATTTTAATTAAATTTAATACACCTAAATGCTCTGAAAATACATCCGGTAAACATACTTTTAGTAAATAACATATTCGAAACAATAAAACAAAGATATGTCTGCAAAGATATAAAACACCTTGAAAGTAACTTAACTAGTCAAGTTACAGGTTTAATAATAATATAGCATTTTTGTAATTTGTGATTCAGGCTTTACCAAGATATCCCTAGTAGAATGTATAATATTTAATATAATATATTTAGAACATACACATCTGATATCCTTTAAGTTACAATAATTATCTTAACATATCAAAAAAAAGTATAGTAAAATAATTTCTTAACATCATTTACATTTTCTGGAATGCATACACATTATATGGAAACCAATAATTTCTCATAGAATTATCACAATGTTAACTAGAGGGTACCAATTAAGACACTTCTTTTTTTTAGTAATTACATTACAATGTTTTTGTGAAAAATTTCAGTGTAAGATGTCTGCAACAACAGGTAACTTGCTAGTACTTATGGCTGAAAATGGGCGTCTAAATAAACTTGAAGCTGTCATTAATGCCTTCAAAATCATGATGGCAGCTCATCGTGGAGAAGTTACCTGTGAAGTCACTACAGCGAAGCCGCTCGACCAGGCCCAGAGACAGAACCTAGAAGCTGCTCTTAAGGTACATAGCTATATATTATCAAACTGTAAGAATTCATAAATATAAATGTGTACTATGAATACGTGAATGTGTACTATACTGAATATTTGCAACATAAATTTTATTTTCAGAAATTCTTGAAGGCTAATGAAACTCTTCAACTGACTGCTAAAGTGGATCCTTCTTTGATTGGTGGAATGGTTGTTTCCATTGGTGATAAGTATGTGGACATGAGCGTCGCCAGCAAAGTGAAGAAATACACTGAACTAATCAGTGCTGCTGTTTAAATTATAAATAGTTCTACATTGAAGTGTTTAGCCAAGAATAACTATAATAAATTAAATCAGTTACTCATTAGTAAATATTGGTTTTATTTTATCACTAACCTGAACACACCTTAACCATGTTAGCACGCTGCCATACCATGGGACAGACTGCCTAGTTTGAAGTTATTATGTTTATTTAGTTATTAAGATTGTCACATAAGTAATATGACAAGAAATTACAAATTAATTGTCTGAATTTTCATTTTCATTAATTAATCATAGGTAACCTTACAACCAACACATAAGTTGTACCATATAATTAAAAAATGACATTTTTAGTTGTTAGTTTAAAGACATTATAAATATGTCTGTAAGGTGATGCTTGAACAAAGATCATTAATTTGACACTGGTACAGCCACAGAATTAAAATCCATGGAGATGTGGTGTGATTTAATGTTTAAAAGTTATAATATTTAGTGTTCTAACTATAGTCACAATTTTTCCTATGTGAAGACTATTGTTTAGTCCTATGGATTTTGCAACATCCCACTAATTAATATTACTGAAAATGAACAGAGTTGCAAAACTCTAAATTAAACAAAATCATAATCACAACTAAAATTTATTTAGTGCATCTTATGCTGCCAAATCAGATATACTTATAACAAAAATAATACTCTCACAGTAATCATTACACTAAGTTATATTTCTCTAGAATTAACAAGAATATTTTTATCTGAGATCAATATTATTAAAGACCTAAATTGAACGTGTTAATTAAATTTAAATCATAATTATGAGCAGTTTCATCCTTCCGTTGGAGCAGCTTCACCTTTTAGCAGCGCATTTTCGGCTTCAAGCTCGGCAATCCGAGCTCTTGCAGTCTCCAATTCATCTTCTCCACCCTCAGTCCCTAAATGTTTACGTACATATTCTAGTGCATCTTCGGGCTTATCCGGTTCTTCATATAAGCTCACAAGAACTTTAGTAAGAGCATCCATAACACCGGCCCTTTCCAAGTATCTTCTGAATTCCTCTCTTTTAGAATCGATGGGCTGTAATAAAGTATATTAAAGTATCAGTACTTATTCTGCATCCATGCAGGATATAAAAATTTAAATTACGAATCTCAACCTGTTAAAAATAAACCTCGGTATGATTCTGAACATTTTAACTTGTTTACTGTGAGAAGTTGTTTGTTTCTGTAAAGTTAAATTCTAACGCTTTAATACTCACTTTGTACGAAGACATAGTTGACTATTTGGTATAAGAAACTAGAATATTTTTCTTTAAAAAGATAATATACGAGTTGAGACTGTGGATAACGAACTTGACAACTAAATATTTCCAATCAAATTTCACATACAATAGGTTCTTTTCGGGTCACGATCACTTCATTCACTTCTTTCGACTTGTATTCTAATAAATTGTTATTTTTTGCATCACAAATGTAGTTTTTATTCCATGGAATCTTTTTTATATTGCAACACAAGTTGATTGTACTAAAATGAAAGCATTTTAACATTTTTCCATAATAAAACAGAAACTTGGTAGACCGTGTCTATTGTAAGGAATCTAAAACAAAGAAACATCGTCTTAAAAAGATACCAGTATAAAAAATATTTACCTGCTTCATTCAAATGGTTTTCTTATCAGTGATCCCCGAGGTCAGATGAGGGCTTAAATGTTTAATCAATCGATTGAAATGGATTTAAGCCCAAGTACTAATACAAACGGGTAGTTTAATTTATAGGCACAATGTATAATAACAACAATCACTTCTTGCTTTAGTACTCTTAGATCTTTTAAAATAAGCAATGAATTTTTATGCGGTTTTCACCAATAGAGAGAGTGATTCACTATTTTTATTTTATTTTGTTCGGAATACCAACAGCACAAATAACGTAAGGTAAAAATTATAATAATATTAACATTATAATATTCGCAAACAGATTCCAAGTGGGAAAAGAACATTAAAAAAAAACAAAAGAAAACTTAGACTAAGAAAATGTCACGCTCCTGATATCGGGCTTAAAAAAAATTTTGAAGCATATATTTTTTGACATGTGAAGGTCGGGATCTGAAGAGCTCAAACTCGCTACTCACTTTATGCACATCATTTACAGATCTACTGGCTCCAATAATAAAGAAATTTTTGCGGTAGTTGGTTTTTGTTCGAGGTACTGCTAAGGGTGGATTATGTAGTGATATGTGCGTAAATTATACAGCACTCTGATTTTTAATTTTCTCGAGAAGAATCGAGCAATCTTTTGAGGTTGATCTAATAATAAAACCTAAGGATTTGTTCGCTTTTACACGATGAAGTCAATATGTTTATCGTATATTAGTTTAGAGTCCTGTATAACGCCTAAATTCTTTATTGACGCCACATAAGCAAGCGGCTCATAAATAATAGTGTACTTACCTAAATTGATTGGGGTTGATTTTACGCGTAAAATTAACTTCAAAGCACTTGGATAAATTTAGGTCCAATTTGTTATATTAGGTCTTTACCTATGAAATTGCCGTTTTGTATGCAATAAGTGAAAGTACTTATTTTTTCAAACTTGTTATTCGAAGTAATCACCCATGCAATCGACGCATCTTTGCCAACGCATTGGCAGTTTATTGATGCCCTTCTTGTAAAAATCAGCTGGATGGGAGGCAACAAACTCTTCAAAGGCATTTTGTACTGCCTCTCGGGAATTGAATTTTTTAACCACTAAAAAGTTGTCTAAATTTTGGAAAAAGTAACAGTCGGTAGGTGCAAGGTCTGGTGAGTATGGCGGATGAGGGAGAGCTTCCAACCCCAGCTCTTGCAGCTTGGAGACTGTCTGTTGCGCAGTCTGGGGTCGCGCGTTGTCGTGAAAGAGCAGTGGGGACGACCGATTGACCAAAGCTGGTTGCAGATGTGACCACCACACCTTGCACCTGTAACTGAAAAAATTAGTACTTTCACGTATTGCATACAAAACGGCAATTTCATACAAAACGGCAATTTCATAGGTAAAGACCTATTATTTACAATATTTTGTAAAATTATTTAGATCCATTTGCAGTAACTAACAATCAGAGGGACTATTAATCAATATAAATATTTCTGTATCGTCTGCATAGGAAAGAAAACTAGCGTGATTAAAGCATGAGCTAATGTCATTAATAAAAGTAATAAAGAGCAATGGTCCTAATAAGGAACCCTGAGGAATACCAGAAGTTACTAAAACCCATATATCCTCAGCCGACGAGCGCCAGGTTGGCTACTCAATGACAGCGAATCTACAGTTCACAGCAAGTATGACGTCTCCGCCATACCTCTGTGAGGTACTCACATAATCGCGATCATTTCTTTAAATAATCAGTCGTTAAAAAGTTCTCGGTCGGCGATCCTATCTATGAGCCAAGACAGTTATGTCAAAGTTATTGAAAATTACGTTTCTCTTAAATCAGCTAGTTTTATTGCGCAGGCCTCGAGCATTTTGGTAAAAAATATTATGTTATGATGATTATTTCGTCACTCAGAGAGGAATAAAGGACCTAGGGTAGGGCTGCCATCCGCCCGGGTTTCCCCGGATTTGTCCTAGTTTGGAAGATGGCTGGGGAGCGTCCGGGCGGGGTTTAAATTGTAGTCCAGGTGCAACCCGGACTACAATAAAGTTAGGTGTTTCACCGCGCGCGCTGCCCTTGTTAAACAAGTTTTAATTTAATTTTATTAACTGAGTAACTAATATTAGGTTTGTTTATCTTTTATTTAACACCAACAAATACAAATAGCCTTTTTTACTGATAAATAAATACATTTCCTTACCATTCATTACTAAATAAAATATCATAATTTTATAATCCAATAATAATTTCATGCATTAGTTGAATTAATATTATAATAACAATTCTAATCGGTAACTTTTCTATCAGTTTGCCCTTTGGCATAGGCCTCCCCTAAGTTTTTCCATATTTCCCTGTTTGTGGCTTTCCTTTGCCATGTTATCCCAGCTATTCTTTTAATATCATCCAACCATCTTATTTTTTGACGTCCTTTTTTTCTTTTCCCATCTCGAGGACAGAAACAACAATCAAAAGAAAAGAGCAACTCGAAAAGAAAAATCACCCCAAGCCGGCTGGTCACCGTGGGGTTAGAGACCAAAACCCTCTAAGTTTGTCGCCCAAGCAGCAAAATATATATGAACAAGACAAACACACAAAAATAGTAAAAAATATATTAAGAGAAGTAGTATTTATGTATCAACACTCAACACCAAGACCCTCAGATCGGATGCATCTCTACAAGAACTGGAATTTGCTTTAAATTTTATAAACTGGGACATTATAGGTCTCAGTGAAGTAAGGAGAATGGACGAAAAAATTGACATGAAAACTATACTCGTATTTTATATCATATAGGAAACACACCTGGCCTATATGGCGTCGGCTTTCTTATTAAAAAATGGTACAGTGAATATATACAGTTCTTCATTAGCATCTCATAACGAATTGCAGAACTCAATATAAATTGGCCTGGGTATGAAACTATATCAATAATACAAACATATGCACCTACAGAGATAGCACCTAAAGATATAAAGGATGCTTTTCATAATTATCTGAATGAAACTATATGAAGTGCCCACAAGACAGTTGTCCTTTTAGGAGACTTCAATGGCCAAATTGGCGATAGACTACCAAATGAAGGCAACATATTAGGTCAATTTCAGGACGAAGACTAGTGAACCTGGCACAGACACACAACTTCAAAGTCTGGAAGTTTCTTTAGGAAAAAGAAAAAAAAAAGGAAATGGGCCTGGATATCTCCCGACGGGAGGGTGAAGAATGAAATAGATTTCATACTCTCTAATAAACCCCAATTCTTCAAAGATGTACCTAAATATTATCAATAAGCTCAACTTTAACACTAACAGCCGTATGGTAAGAGGAGAAATTTATTTAAATAGCATAAAGAAAAAGAGACAAACAAAAGAGAAGAAAATCCACCTTTTTTTTTTCGTGCGGAAATCCCCTCGGATACCACCTGTTGGTGGCATGTCGGACACGAACCGACTAAAACCGCACGCCGTCTCGGGTACTAATAGCCGGGGAACCAGGTATAGCCTAGAAAGGAAGTCCCTGGTGAAGAAAATCCACCTAAACGCATCACAGTCTCCGTCCCAGAAAACTTGTTACTAAAATTGAAAGACAGTTTGCTGAATAACAACAAAAATGCAAATATACAAGGAATATATAGTCTACTGGAGAAAGCACTTCAAGAGGTATCTAAAAAGTTATATTCCTCAAAAAAAAAACAGAAGAGATAAAATTGGAAATGAAGCAAGAAACCTGATAGAAACCAGGTAAATTCTTCTGGAAATCAGAAAACAACATAGAATACAAATAACGCAATTAAGTAAACAAATAAATGAGAAAATCAGGACAAATAGAAAACAATTAAGAAGTAGGACTATCAAATACCATATTGAAAGGTCAGGAGGCCTAAAGAAGGCCCTGAAAGAGTTGAAGGAGAATACCGCATGGATTCCATCCATCAAAAGCAAGACATCTGGGAAGAAAGAAACAAAGCGACCTAAAATCATTGAAATAGCAACAACATTTTATAGCGACCTATATGATGACGATGGCTACACGAATACTCAATACCAAAACTATCCGCCCGATATTAGAAACCGAGATAAGAAATGCAATATAGTCCCGAAGAAATTACAAAGCTCCTGGAGATGATGAAATAATAAACGAAATACTAAAAGGCTGCCTAGACTACATAATAACAGCTATTACAACCTTATACAACGATATTGTAACAACAATAAACAAAACTACAATAATAATGATAATGACAAATCATGTTAAAACACCTATCTCACTGAACTCCAATGAAATAGAAAATGTTGAGGAATATACATATCTAGGACAAAATATCGCACCAGGACAACAGATGTAGAAGGAAATAAACAACAGAATAACTAATGAAAAAAAGATTTTGGTCCCTAAAAAAGTAATGAAGAATCAGCACATGGAAGGGAATACAAACCTGGGCCCTTACAAATAAGCAGAGTGGAGTCCTAAGAGTGTGTCAAAATAATATGGAGAGAAGCATCCTAAACATCAAGCTACGCGATAAAATCAAACTTACAGACATAAGAAACAAGACAAACATGAAAGATGTCACATACACAGTGAAAAAACTTAGTGGACTTGGGTTGGCCATATGATGAGAAGCATAATGGAAAAATTGTCAAAAATATATTTTAATAAAGATGTACCTAAGTGAAAAAAAAAGTATTGAAATGTCCGGGGTGAAAGCTACAAAATCCGGGGAACTTACGCTTCCGATCCTGGGGGGCAGGTTTTGGAGATGGCAGCCCTAATCTAGGCTTAAGAACCATGCAATCGACGCATCTTTGCCAACGCATTGGCAGTTTATTGATGCCCTTCTTGTAAAAATCAGCTTGACGGGAGGCAACAAACTCTTCAAAGGCATTTTGCACTGCCTCTCGGGAATTAAATTTTTTACCCCCTAAAAAGTGTCTAAATTTTGGAAAAAGTAATAGTCCGTAGGTGCAAGGTCTGGTGGCCACATCTTTCTTTTTTTTAATTTATTCTTTCAAAGTGTAAACATATTAATGAGAAAATTTTAATATACATAGCATTTCCTAAGCCACGAAGGTTTATAACGAATGCTAAGGGTTAGTCTCGATCGGTACAAAAATTTCAAAAAAGTAATAATAATAAGAAAGTTCTGAATACAGTATAAAACAATATTTCATAAATAAAAAGCGAACAGATAAAACAAGAAATAAAATAGATTTGAATAATTTTGATTAAAAAGTAATGGCCGTACTTACTTTAGATTTAAAGTTCACCGGCGTCAGAATATCTCTTAATTCGGAGGGTAGTTTGTTAATAAATCTGGGAACTAAGTATTCGGTTGTTCTTTCACCGTATATATTATTTGTTGTCGCTTGACTGGTTTCGCACACAAGATTCCGAGCAGCTGCCCTTGTATATACATCGTGTGTTTTTTTTTTGTTAAATGTATTGGTAAAAAAGTTTTCTTTCAGTAAATTATATTTAAATTGTGTTTGGCTCGGGAGGATTTGACAGTGTTTAAAAAGCCCACTGTCATCGTTATAGAATTGCTTTTTAATTTTTGCTGGAACGATAGTTCGCAAAATTTTTCGTTGTAGGTTATATTTTTTTTTTAATGTGTTAAAGGTACGACCATAACTACTCAATCCATACTGGATATAGGATTCAGCCATTGAGTTGTATAACATTCTTTTGACTTTAAAGGGTATTCGGTCTTTGAGCAGCGTGATGTTTGCAAGGAACAGTCTGAGTTTATCACATACGTGTTCTATATGGTTACCCCAATTTAGCTTGCTGTCAATAACTAACCCCACATAGGTATGTGTCGTTACGGTTTGTATGGCGGTGCAGTTACATGGATCGTTGAATGACGTGTGTAAGCAGTTGTGGTTGTGTGCACGTATGTCTTTGAATTGAGATTTATCCAGGTATGGAGATTTAATATGCAGTAGTTTGGTTTTATCAGCATTCAACACCAGACCGGCATCATGGCACCACTTTAGAACTGTATCGAAGTTGGACTGGAAGAGTTCTGCGGCCTTTTGCGCATTCTGGTGTGCTGCAACGAGACAGGTATCGTCGGCAAATTGATAACAAGAATTCCATTCTAGGTCGTTTACGTATGTCAAAAAGTGAAGAGGCCCCAATACAGATCCTTGCGCCGTGCCTTCTGTAACTGTAATATGGTCGCTGTACGTGTTATCTACCTTCACGGTGAACTTGCGGCTGAGGAGATAATTTTTACACCATGAAAGTAGTGGACCGCGTATCCTACATTTGTCTAATTTACTGATTAATAGTTTGTGGTCTAGTGTGTCAAAAGCGCGGGAACAGTCTATAAAAATAACTCGGTCATGCATTCTGTTATTTAGGAACATGTTTACTTCATCTGTAAACTTCGATAGCAGTTCGTTTGTTCCTTTACTAGTTTGAAATCCGAACTGTTTATGGTATAGGTGTCATGTTTTTCATAGAACCGCACCTGTAGACACACAGACTTCTCCACTATTTTATCTATAGAAGTTAATAAAGTTATCGGCCGATAGTTGAGGTAATTTACTTTTGAACCCTTCTTGCTCCCCACAGCTTCATCACGACAACGCGCGACCCCATACTGCGCTACCAGCTGATTTTTACATGAAGGGCATCAATAAACTGCCAATGCGTTGACAAAAAGAAGGGCATCAATAAACTGCCAATGCGTTGACAAAGATACGTCGATTGCATGGGTGATTACTTCGAATAACAGAAATAAAAAAGTTTGAAAAAATAAATACTTTCACTTATTGCATACAAAACGGCAATTTCATAGGTAAAAACCTAATATTATTATGATAAGACTATACTACAGGACGTCTTTATATGCATTATACGAGTATAATAGCCCGCTCCGCTCCTGCCGGTCGCTGCATTTAAATTTTTGATGTCTGCTACTATATATTCATTTTAATGTGCTTTAAATGCAATTTTTATCTACATTAGATGCACAACGTATTTTTTTGGATAAGGAATAAGACTGTATTGTTCAGAATAGCTTGCCATAAGCCTGTTATTTTTTGTAATATTTAAAAGATAAAATGGATACTGTGGTTTATCTAAGGAGATAGACATAATACCATCGCGGACTTTTTTGTTGAACTTTTTGAGATGTACAATTCCGTAGTATTTACACTTTGATCTATCTCGTAAGGTTTAGCCAGCATTTGCAATGTAAGCGCACAAAAACATGTTTTTTAAGACTTCACATTACAAATCTTTGAAATTCACGATTTCCTCTACTATACTGTGCATGTACTATACATAAAAACTCGCCTCTTGTGGAGTGATTTTTTATGTACTATACATAAAAAATCATTTTATACTATTTATAGATAAATAAAAAGGTTTCCACTGTTGCATACAAAAAGTTTGGTTGCTTGCCTTGGTACACTTGGTCTCCTTTTCTGAGAGGAAACAAATAATTTAAAAGAAAATTAAGTAATAATAAATAATAAAAGTGAATAAAGTTGTATTTTTTTATTATTATAGTTTATAACTGTTAAAGCTAGTATGAAAGTAAGAAGCAATAATGTCCGTTTTCGATTACAATGAATTGAAAACAATACAAACAAAGAAACATTCAGTAAGTCTAAAATAACAGTGTTACTGAAGAAGGTTGCAGTAGTCGCAAATTAATATAGTTCAAAATAAAATGCCATTTGTTAGCTTTATTGTAGCCTGAATTCTTAACTAAAATACTTTGTTTTAAATATAATTATTGTTTATTTTGTTAAGATTCATCATCACTTCCCGCTGCTGCTTTAGGTTTAGGTCCACCTGCCCTTTTAGCCATAATGATTTGATCCACCTTGAGAATCGTGGTGGCAGCACCAACAGCATACTTAAGGCCCCAGTTTTTCAGAATGTATAAATCTAAGATATTTTTCTCCTTTGCATCACACACACCATTGTTTTCGGATTCAATGTCATATCCAGCGTTTTTGTTCCCTGCCTGAAATAAAAGACAACACATTATTATATTGTAACTTTGCTTATCTCAATTTCTTTATCTGCAACATTGTGTATACTTTAAAAAATAACTTGGTTGTTTTCAGTACAATTTATAATTTTAACTATTACATATCTTAATCATATCACAAAAGTTTTCACAAATATAAAGCCTCAACCACCGCATTATGGTTAATTTCTTTGTAGGCAAAAAATTCGTTATGAGAGCTACCATATATCATGGACATCGTTTTTGAAGGGTAAAATACAAGTAAACTTAAGTTACCATCATAGCTCGAGGTAAAAGCAACTGAAGTACCCCTCAGCTTGATAATGACAACTTAAAGACGCTAGATGCTATAGATTAAGGTTGAGGAACCAGGTGCTCAGACCCTATGTTATGTTTGGATGGAATAAAAAAAGGCGTAAAATGTTTATACCTTGTGAGCTTTATAGATGTTATTAACTACTTCTGTCGCATTAGCTCCAGAGTTCTCTGCCAGGGCTTTAGGGATACTCTCTAGGGCAACTGCAAATTTCCTAACAGCATATTGTTCTAAGCCTGGTAGAGTGTCTGCATACTGAAGAAGTTGCTGTGCTAATTCGATTTCTGTAGCACCAGCACCAGGGACGAACCTGAGGAATAAGTGAAAAGATGGCATTTTACATATATCTTTTTTTATGAAATTTTGTGTGCACATCGGGTAGGTCTGAGAATCTGCCAACATCTATTTTTCATACCCCTAAATGACAAGGGTGACCCGACCCACCCCTAATATTTTTTCAATATTTCCTAGAAATAATGTATATGGCAAAAAAACGTTTGCCGGAACAGCTAGTTATTATATAAAACATTGTTTTGTCATCACAGTAGTTATTAACATTCAACACCACTCCTCAGGCAATCAACTTTTGGACTTTATGAGGGTAATAGTCACAACAGAACGGACAGACTGTTCAGTCTTCAAATACATCTTAACCATTATTTGAATTAATATCCGACTCCTTTTATTGAAATTTGACAACTAACACCAGGTTACTATGGTGGACTATTGCTTAATTGGTGGACTGGCGCTAGGTCCTTCTACCCTAAGCAGGACCTAGCGCCAGTCGCGTAGAGTTTTAACCAATCATAGACAGTTAAACAAGAAAAACATAACCCTTCCTATGCAGTCGGCTAAAAGCTGTCATTTGTTCCCTCGTTCAATCGTTTTGTTAATATAAATTGATTAGACGTTAGTGATATATTGTGTGCCGTTCATACGTAACGCGTGTGTAATCCATACTTATTTTATAAATAAATTATACGACGCACAAGTACAAGTACTTGACATTATTAGTTAACCTACTAGACATGTATGAAAATCATTACAGAATACCGGCAGTTATCTGTGCCTCCATTTCTCTATGCAATGTCAATCAAGCGTGAGAAACGAACATCTCTGAAGACTAGTACCAGTAAAAAAGGCTTAACCAACATTTAACTAGAAATGGGTAGTGGATAATCCCTCTATAACCTGGGCCGCAATTCCCAGGTGCCGTCGCATGTGTTGCCCCCATCTGTCATATACATACGTAATGCTGAAATGAGTGGGAGTGGCAACACAACGGGCAAGTATCATGCCTGATACCAAATCGCCCCCGGAGGCTTCTGCACTTCTGGAAGCTTAGTTGGCTCACTTAGCCAACCTGTCCTAAACGCGCAAAAGGACCATTCTTGAGTCTAAATCCGAAAATCAGACCCCGCAATCAATAGCAATATCTGTCATGCTATGGACCCGGCACCCGTACTGTGAATCCATGGAACTCTATGATGTAGGTCTATAAGTCAATAGAGTTTTACCTTCCATCTCTAGCAATACCTTTGAAGGTATTAACACCATCATCTATAGCTCTCTCTATATCATCCATATAGTTGTCAGTAGACCCTCTAATGACAACTGTAGAAATACGGGACTCTGTGCTTTCCATACGGAAGAAAACAACACGTGTATCGCCTAATTCTTCAACTCCAACAGAGTCACAATATCCAAGTTCCTCAGCAGTAGGGGTAGTCAGACGGGGTAATACCTAAAACAATATAATTTATTTTTTGATTACATTGTCATATCTACAATGTCATAAAAATGTTAAGTTGGTTTGTGTACACTTCAAAAACTCAAAAGTTCTTCACCAATTGAGTGTGAAGCATAGTGGGTTCTGATAGTTCTTTGTAAAAGCAAATCATGTAATCAATGTGAGTTATTTGGGCTAATTACAATAAAGCAGTCTTTGAAATACTTGTTACTTACAGTAGCATTAACAGTTTTGGCAAGGCGGCGAATATCAAACTTTGAATTCAGACGTACAGCCATTATCCCAAACTTGTTTAAGAAATGTAAAGCCATATCACCAAATTTAGCACCAGCCACAATGACTTTGACTCCAGCATCAGCAATCTCTTTGATTTGTTTTTCAAGTAAGGATTCCTCTCCTCGGCTAAAGTTAAGAAGCTCATCTGCAGACTTAATCAATACTGTGCCCTTAGTTTCAGTTTGTGTGATGTCTATGGGGCAGTTAAATACAGCTACTTTAGCTTTTGTGGCCATGGGGACATCTCCTTCAACTTCACGCTTGAATACCATACCAGAAAGAACTTCAGATTGCAGAAGACCTGATCCAAGAATCTGCAATTACATTGAAAGTCATCATCACATAACCTTATATGTATAGGTACACTATTATAATTATACAGTTTCTAGTTTAACACTAAGTACTGCTGGGTTATGTTATGGGCATAACCTTACAATAACTTTCTAATACAAGTATTCCATCACAGAAACAATGGCTTGTCTTATTGCTAAAAGTATGTTCTTACAGGTAATCTTGATATGAAAAGATGATAATAAAAATAAATAAAAAAGTTTAGAAGCAGAATTTATTTACTTTCCATATCCCAACACAATATTTTTCTCGGTTATGACATTTGTTTGGCTCAGTCCATTAAATGCATGTGAGTGTAATTTCTTTCTTTAGAAAACAGGCAAATATTTCCTTGAATCATTACGAGGTAGATAGAGTTTTTAGTTGTGCACTGTCTGTCTGTTTGTCTTAATATTACAAGTATTTGATTGCTACAAGAACAGAGACTTTTAAAAGGGCTGAAATAGCTGCAATACATACCTTGCAAATCCTCACATTATCAACATTGAATGTAGTCTTCTCAGGAAGAATAGCCACACATGCTTTTGCAACCAATTCTGCAATAAAATCTTCATAGCCATATTGTTTAGACATAATTGATGGAATAATGCCTTTGGTCACAGCCTCAACATTTTTAGGATCTTTAATCTCTTCACATATGAGTCCAGGTAGAATTTCTAGACACTTATCCAAAGCGTTTTCATAGCCATCTGCAATTTCACTGGGTGTGACACCTAAACGCAAGAGTTCATCTGCAGCTTCAAGGAGAGCACCAGACAAGACTATCACAAAATTTGTTCCATCACCTACTTCAGCGTCTTGCATCTGGCTAGCCAGAACCATTAACTTAGCTGCAGGATGTTCAACATCAAGTTCTCTAATTATGGTTCCAGCATCACTGGTGACAAACTGCTTGTCAATGTGATTAATGATCATTTTGTTCATTCCATTTGGGCCGTATGCCGAACGCACGCTTTGGGCAAACTGTTTGCATGCATTTATGTTTCGGTAAACAGCTTCTTCTAAACCAGAGAACATCTGTAAACATTCTTTTATTGTACTAATTTTATTGGATAAATAAGGATGTAATAATCTTTGTGTATACCATTTATTAAGCAAATTTAACTAAATATTTAACCAAATTAGAAAATACTATTTTTTGGAAGAATATGTTTTTAAAACCACAATTTAGGATTTTACGATGATGAATTAAGTAAAATATAATTAGGTTTCAGGATTTATTTTCACTTTTAGGATTATGATTCAAATATAATTAATCATATATAGTAATAATTAAAAAAGATATAGCGACTTAAAGAAGCAGATGAAATGCACGCAGTAGTCGAAGACATTGTTGGTTATGTATCGGTTAGCTTACCCGAGCTCCTTCTTTCAACATCTGGGGTACACCAGGGGCTTTAGGTACGTGTAAGGCCATATTTTTATTTAATAATTTATTTCACTTTTTTTTTAAAGAAGTTATCTAGATGCCCTCGTGATTTTCTGGAATCCGGCAACTATTGCAACAAGATCAGATCAACGAGTGAATGAAGATTGATGAAATGTATGAGAATTTTGAACTGAACGATGAATGAATTATGTAGATAATTAACTAGAAGTGATGAAAATTATTGCTACTATTTAATCACAATCATATGATTAAATAAATAGTTTTGGTCACTGCGATTTAACCTGTGATAAATCACCACTGGGATTTGATCATAGACTAAGATAAATGCCATCAACACTTAAGCCACACAAAAACTTAACCAAACTTCTTATCATAGGGATGGAATAAAACATAGAGATATAAGCATAGAGAGAACACATGGCACATCTGCCTGTAAGTGCAAGCGATACAGGCAACGAGAGAGATGGATGCTCGATAGTCGCCTTTGTCTCTGTTTAGCTAAGCTGCGATATCTATCGTGAAGTGGGCATGGTTTTGATCGTAGAACAGGCGGGAGATTAGAAATTTCCCCAGCCTACCACAGAGCTTGACTAGAAAGAAATAAAGAGAACTATCTGTTATCCATCTCTCTCGTTGACCATATTGCAAGATTGGGGCTCTTGTTCACTCTATACTTATATGTCGGTGGTGCAGTGGTAGCTTATGCGACAGCTGTGCTGAGATCTCGGGTTCGATTCTCGGGTCGGACCAAATGTTTGTATGATTGCAAATATTTGTTTCGGAGTTTGAATATTGTCTATGTATAATATGTATGTATGTCCAAAAAAAAGCACATATAAATATTCTATCAGTCAATCTAGCTTTCACAGTAAAAGCTCTGATTAGTTTGAAACTAGATGGCGTTGTATGTGAGATGTCCGAAAATATTATTATTAAAACACTCAGATTACCTCCTAATAGATGCCGCATTATTGAGTATTTGATTCGATTCGAGTTCACCAAATTTGGCGGTATGCAAGGATACGTCCCCCGTAGGACGTGTCAAATGCGCCGTGATTGGATATTTCAAAGTCAGACAGAGTTGGGACGTTAATCGATTAAATGGTTTAAAGATCTTAATTATATGTATTTATTCTTGATTTGTTGCTTTTTGAAAAATAATTAAATTGATTGATGATTATTATAAAATTATATTGATCAATGTTTATTTGATCTTTATTAAAAATAAAACAATGTATAAATATTTCGGTGGCTCCCGTGCAAAGTGATACAAGTAAAAAATCAATACTTTACAGGAGAACAAAACAAATTCTAGTTTGCGATCTATGTAAGCTAGGTTAAATATGAGAAGATATGAATGGGTGCTTAATTGTAACCATTATAAGTTGAACTTAAATTTATTTCAAATGTACCTGTCATTTGAAATATGTTAACGTGATAAGAATATAATTTACTTACCGATGAGATGTTATACTATCTTTTTGATAACTGGATGTCTTAGCTGACTTGCCACACAATTTCACAGGAAAGGAAGCCATTTATAATATATTATGATATAAAACTATTTTAAATGCTCAAGAACTCGAACGGGTCACGAACTTGGTCGTTACTAATGTAATTCTTAGCGTCAGGTCGTATGCTAGCTACAGCGTGTATGTGTTGCGCGCTTTTGTGGCCCTGCCTGTGTGTGGAATCTTTTAGGCGGTAATCTGTGTATTACTATTATTATCTCTATGGCATAAAATCACAATCACCTGACATAAATCTTATAATTTATAAATCATATAATCACAACTGTAACAAATTTTTACAATCAGTGCGATTTATTATTATTATTACGCTAGCACCAGACTCGCCAAAGATCTAAATCTAAAAAAAAGGGTAATATTTTATAAAAAGTATTTGGTTGATTTTGATGGCATTTGTCATGGCACTTTGTATATGACCAAATCACAATCATCGTTGAAATCAAATTGACTAATGAATCATTTCATCTTATGATTATGAAGTAAAGGGAGCAATAGGATAGCATAAATGACAATCACCTGCGACCAATTTATTCTATCACGGCGACTTATAATTATGATTACGCTAGCGGCAGCGCCATACTCGCGAAAGGTCTAAATTTAGAAAAAAGGTCGTGGTAATTGATAAATGAAAATACAAAATATTTGGTGAAGTTTTGATGGCAATTAACATTTATTTTTGTCTATGACCAAATCACGCCATTTCATTATGATTTAAAAGTAGCAATAATTCCATCACTACTAGGTAGTGTGGGTTAGCGGTATTTTCTGTAACTATTTACAATAACTGACATTTTTCGTGAAACCATGGAGTTATGTAGTATACAACTCTTATTGACTAAATTTAAATCTTTGAATAAAAGCAAAATAACCAATTCATTCACATTATATGTTTTTTTCAAACTTCTTTTCAAAGTCACGTAGTTAGGTCCTTTACCGTAGTGTTGCAGCTCTTCAAATTCCCTTGAATACGAATAATCCTTAAAATAGACGCATTATCGAATTTCTTGATAACGATTAATTTAAAATCCAGGCGTCTTAGTGTTTATTAATACTTAAAATTCATCTGACATCCAAATCGCAACGAAAAATAAATCTTTGTAGGCAAAAATCGCTTGTGTCCAACTCTAGTGTTTACTAAGATTTACTAGTAAAATCTATGATGTGGCATTACACGGGTTTTTTTAGTAACCTACATAAATCTATAAAACTGTAATCGTTTAGTACACACTAAGAAATGATATCAAAATCTCTTGAGAATCAGATATTTTATTTTTCGATTTCTTTGACCCCATCCCTTTAATTCAATCTGTCAGAACTGTCAAACGGTACCTCTTAGATTAGATGGACTATATACAAATAAATAAAATTGAAGTGTCTGTTTGTAATGTCAAAATAAAATGTTTTTTCATGCTCACACGGTTATTTGTCCGATACCTATGCTTAAAAAACAGTTTTTTTTGTCTGTCTGTTTGTTCCGGGTAATTAGCTAAACGGCTGGACCGATTTTGATAATATTTTACTACCAGGTAGCTGTTTATATAAAGAGTTACTTAGGCTATTTCGCCTCTCAGAAAAATTTTGCCCGGTCCGGGAATCGAACCCACTAAGGCAGCGCTTTTCAAATTCCACGCGCACGAAGTCGCGGGTACCAGCTAGTCGCTTAATAAAAAGGTTGAGTTATGTTTGAGCGATACGTAGGTGCGTTGTCGTGAACTCCTGACGAAGCCGTCAATTATCATACAGTTCCACAGTTACATCAAACAGTTCCACAGTTTGGCGATTTTGGTAACTAAATATATTATTTTCCTTTGTAAACTAATAAATTAAAAAAAACAAAAGTAAATCAATCTCCATGTATTTTTGTGCGTTAACAGTCTTCTTTGATCATCAATTCAATATTTTTTAATTACTTTTACCTTTACCAAGGAAGAATACAACCGGTATATAGATATAGATTTAGCGTCTTACTTTAGAGTTTAGAGTATAATCAAGTAGATTTTCAACATTATTACTTACGATATTATATATTTATGTTATTACTATACAGGGTGTAAGGCACAAGGTCTCATAGATCTCACTAAAACGTCTTTCTGGGGATACTTTTCACGATGCAAAAGTCAGTTCATCATAAAATGAAAGATAAAGGATTCACAGTGATTAGTTTTATTTTGCGCTACGCAATGTACAGGTACTACCGTAATCTAGCGCTATCGCGTATCGTAACTCGCGCGTTAACAGAACTACCGTGGCAAGTGGCAAGTAGGTATATTGAGTACCTACTTACCACCGTGTCGACAAACTCGCTTTTAATTTATGTATGCGATATGGCCGTCGCGGTCCCGGCGAAGGATTTTGGTGGCACCGCAAATATAACACTTTTGTGTTGAACATGTGTCTGTTAAGGCATTGCTCACTTTGTCGTAAGTCATTGTCAAAAACAAATCGTGTTTAACAGAGATTTGAGATCCAGCAACGTTACATGATGTTGGAAGAAGCTGACTCACTTCATCAAAAATTTTAGAAGTTTCTTCTTTCGTAAACTCTTTTGTCTCCTTGGCAAAAATAAACTTAATAGTACGGCAATATAAAGTAGAGGAAGGTCTTGGATTTTACTTTTGCTTGGAGTTTAATTTCAGCTCGAGATTGAGTCACAGAAATATATTCGTCAGAAGGACAACAAGAAGCTTTGGACTTACCTAAACTATAAAACGATGAATAAACTTGATGTCAATTGACCACTTTCTTGTTTGTTTATATGAGTGAGAAGTCGATTTCGAGTCCACATAATAATATTATATAAGTATTTCTAGCCGAATCACTATGCGCGGTATCAACTGCAATCTCTCCACCCGTCTCGTAACAGTGTGCCGTGAGAACGACACACTGTCGGCTTTAGCTTTGACGTTTTTGTCATCACTATTTTGTGCAAAGATTGTCAAAGCTTCTTTAATAATTTCTCCATCAGAAAAAGGTTTCTTTTTTTAGCTAAAAGCATAGAGAAGGTTCTGCCTAGTTAGGAGATAAAACAGCCGCGTGTAAAGTTGAACAATAAAAATCAGCAGCCATTGTTTTGCATTAATAATCCGTCCGTAACAGTCCGTGGTTGAAATACCGATAATACTTTTCTTATTTTGTAGAGTAATGATGAAGACGATAAAACAATCACCACTGATATTACGATTCATAAGTTTAGTATAGCAACATATTTGGACAGAAACTTAAACAATCTGCCCATTAATTTTTATTAAGATCGTATATTCACCAACAAGCTTGCTGCCTTTTTTAAATGACTACACATCTCACACATGGTCGTCTGATAGACAGAGCCTGTGCTATGGTGACCAGACTTGATAAACATACTTAACTTTTATAGATAAATAACACCTAGACACAGATCAGAGCCGATCAATAGTTTATAATCTTAGAAAGCCTCTTTGAGTAGATTTAGCCTCGTAGTAGCAACCTGATGACTCACGCGCCACGGTAGAAGGTTTTTACTTTGTTTTCAGTGTGGGATTAGGTACCAGATATTGTGGTGATGAGTTGGTTATTGCAACCAACAAGTAAGGATATTTGTTACTCAACCACGCCAGAACGGAAGAGATAGATTTATAGTTTGAAGTAACACATACGAGGGAGCGTTTTTATGTTCGCGGAATGGGGGATAAGGGGTAGAAATAAAAAAACCAAATTATTTTTCCTTTTCAATATATTCACCTGCAAGACGGATTCTAGATCTTTCAATTAATTTGTTTATACCCTCATAAAAAATGTTTTCTCTTTGTCTTCAAAATACGCCGAAACTGCCTCTTTGACTTCATCATCGTTGGTAAATTTTTTACCCCGCAGCTCTTTTTTCATTTTTGGAAACAGGTAATAATCGCTGGGGGCCAGGTCTGGGCTGTAGGGTGGGTGATTCAAAATATCGAAGCCCACCTTATGCAGGGCAGCCAACGCAACGCGGCTCTTGTGGACGGGCGCGTTGTCGTGCAAAAGCAACACACCTTTTGTCAATTTTCCCTGTCTTTTCTCTTTAATGGCTTCTTTGAGTCGCTCTAATATTGAAGCGTAGTATTCTCCGGTTATAGAAACACCTTTATCTTTATAATCGATCAATAATATTCCTTCTGAGTCCCAAAAGACCGTTGCCATGAGTTTCCCAGCTGACTGTGACACCTTAAACTTCTTGGGAGGTGCTGTGCCCTTTTTATGCCACTGCATGGAGTCTTGTTTCGACTCAGGTTCATAATGATGAACCCAAGTTTCGCCCCCAGTAACAATTCTACTCAATACAGCATCCTTGTCTTCATTACAAATGTCTAAAAATGCACGTGAACACTCTACGCGCTGTTGTTTTTGCGTCGGCGTGAGCATTCTCGGCACCCATCTTGCACTGACCTTTGTCATGCCAAAATGATCGTGCAGAATTCTAAAAATGGTTGTATCAGATACTCCAACCATTTCTGCGAGTTGTTTCTTCTTTAGTCGAGCATCGTCGAGTACAATTTTTTCGACTTTTTGGATAAGTTCTAGCGTGATCACCTCGATGCTCGGGTCGTCCCCTTCCTTACAGTTTAAATAAACTGTGCCATCTGTACGCCATGGTTTTTCCTGGACAGGAGTCACCGTAAACCAATGACATCTCATTCATTATGGTCGCAACTGATTTTCCTTGCTTGGTAAGGAACTTTATAACGGCACGATATTCGATTTTTTCCATGTTTCACTTTTCACTCCCGATTATGTTGCTTGGTTGACGATAACTCAAAGACTAATTGTCTAATAACAATGAAACCTGGTATTTATACTAATTATGAGTCACTGAACACGTGACGATTCTAATGAGCCTAATCACCCCCCTCGTAAGTTACTTTTTATTCCGGAAAACTTGACTGATATAATCGAGATTACCGCGAGGGAAGTTGCCGGCAAAAGCTAGTATTCAATGAAAGAGTAGTCTATAGTTTATTGTTTATTTAACTAAACTACATACATGAATGAATTAGATTGTTGAATTTGACAATCTTCCTGAAACTCATTTGCATATATCACAAAATAAAAAAATAATAATAAGTTTTCTTAGGAACTACATAGTTAAGTACATGTTGTTGCTGCCTGTTGTGTAGAAATAGAAATATATGCATAAACCTCCGATAGAATCAAATTCATTTCTAATAACAAAACAGTTTTATATTCGATCTATTTGTAGCATGAGCTTTTGAATTACTGGTTGATCGGATTGAAATTAAAAATATTAACATGACTCGTTTAAGAGCTGAGGAATTTATTATCAGGAAGAGAACCATGTGTTTCTTGTACCACACTTCAAATCACTGCGAGTTAAAGCATTATAGGTTTCGTAACTGCCTACTTTAGATTAGTTTTGAAAAAAAAAGAGTAACCCAATAATTCTCCTCAGCTATAAGCTAATGGAGGCATTTTCACAGTACAGGTAAAAATTAAATCAATAATAAGATTAAATATGTGTAAGCAAATAGAAATTGTGTGGATAAAACACAGTACATGATTTTAATTAATAATATATTTAAAAAAACCTCAATAGCTCCTTATTTTATATTTTACTTATTTATTATTAGATATGTATTTACCTTTTTATTTATAGTTATTTCTTCATCATTAAAAATAGTATTTCTTAATATTGGGTTACTAACTTGTGAAGAATATTACACATATATTATTAATAGCAGCCGACCATTGAGGTTATTTTAAAACATATGACTAACACTCTTATGACTATCCTAGCGATTATCTAGCGCTAACATCACAGGATGGTCCCCCTTAATTTTTACAAGTTGTAAAGTAATACTGGTTGCTACCAAAGTAAGGGACAGAATATATAGTACTAAAACACGATTATAAAATAAACAAACAAGTAAAATGAAAGCCTCTCGCCTTATATGGGGACCGAAATTTTGTTTATTTAAGTATCTTATATGTTACTATTATTACCATTTAGATAATTTTGTCTCCAACATATTTGTTAAACTTACAAGTATTTCACAGTAGCAATTTAGGAGCTCAGCTCACTAACCAAACATATAAAAATATACATTAAAGTGAATAAAAAATAAATTTCATTACCAATGTAGATATAACAATTTCTATAATCGAGTAAATATTTTCGGACAATAATTAAGTGTATATAATTTACTAATAGATAAAAAAAACACTAGACTAAAAAATTAGTACTTTAAAGGAGATTAAAAAAAATTCACGATAAAAAAAGACTATATGGATGTTTTCAACCAAGACAATGCAATTAAGCCAATTGGGAATAGGCACTACTGTTACTTAGCAAACTTCTAAGAACTATTCTAAAATTAGCAACCCCCTAATTATTGTTTTGTATTACTTGTTTAGTACTGAGATCAAATGCCAAATGAGAATGTTAATTTTTTCATATTACAGTTTATATGTTGCAAAATATAATTTAAAAAACCTCGCACATAACCGGTACGGGTAAGCGTTATCAGTATGAGAATTTATAACGAATATATAAAGATCACAGAAAAAAGGAACGTTATGAGCAAAGGGCGACAATATAAATCGGTTGCCTCTACTCTGGTCGCGTACGAGAATTAAAACACCACTAGTAAATACATAAGTCTTTCAATAAATTCGACACTGGAATATAAATACATATTTTATAGTCGTTTAAAATAAAAAGCACTCAAAGATTTAATTTGTACAGTCTTAAAATCTACATATTACTTTTGCCAGCTCTATATTTTCTAAAGTACATAAGGTTAGTATTAAAAATAATCTTTTCTCTGCCAATAAAATTTCATTACAACGCTGAGTCAATACAATAATTTGAAAATAAATCACAATAGCTTGAGATACATGTCTTATCAATTTACATTCAAACACAAAAAAGGTTTAACATTTAAGGTATGTATGTACCTTTATCTGTGACGCATGATGCTAACAAATAAGATTCTTCTTAATACACCCAAAGATGATTTTGAAAATTGAATACAGAGTCTAAATAATCGACATATACCATGGACTTCTACATTAGAATCAATTTAAAATAAAAATGTGATAATATAAAGATTTATCAGAGTTTGCAAACCATAGAATATAAGCATAGAGTGAACAAGAGCCCCAATCTTGCAATATAGTCAACGAGAGAGTTAGATATAATAGATAGTTCTCTCTATCTCTTTCTAGTCGATCTTTGTGGTTGGCTGGAATAGAAATACGAGGGGTTAATAAGTAGCCAATCGCTGCTTTGCTAAAACAGAGACTGAGCAGCCGTGTTCTCTCTCTATGGTTTGCAAACTCTGGTAAATCTTTATATTATCACATTTTTGGAAACACTCAAAATTAATAGGTTTTTCTTTTTATCATTATAAGTAGCAAGTCTAATAAAACCATTGTCAAATTACTGATATCGATACTATCAATAAACCTACACTTGAGAAACCTAGCACAATTCTATCCCTACGAGATCAAATCTGAAATGTACACAAGTCAAAAATGACAGCGTACGTAATACATTACATTTTAGAAGTTATTAGAGCAGAAAGAAGGTTGTCACAAAAAAAGTCACAGTGAAGCTATTCCGTTTTTTAAGTAAATAGTATATAATTAACTTTTAAAAATGATATCACTGACTTCAATGAGATTAAATAATAATACATTGTAATAAGCTGGATTTTTAATCGTTTAAATTTCCACTTACAAATTTGAACGAGCTTGGTCCTATTTTTGAGTACCTATAATGAATTCAATTAAAAATAATTATTAAAATCGTTTTACAAATAGCAAGGATATCGCTTAACATACGGCACAAAAAGCTTCAGTCGAATTGAGTATCTCCTCCTTTTCGGAGGCGGTTAAAATGAATTGGTATCAACAAAACGTGATCCGTTCATAAAGACACAAATACTGCATCTGACAATGGTTAACTTCTACTCCGGTTTTGGTGAAGAAGACAACCTTGGTGAAACCAGCAAGTAAATAACGAGTTGATGACCGGTATATCAGAATAAGTTTTTCGGCGGCGGTACCGCAACTACAGCAGCTCCGGCCCGGCCAGTGCTCAAGGGAGCAAGCTTACGCCAACAATTCGATTCAGAATCGTACACTTCTACTACGCATAGGTACTGAACTCCGTCGTATCCACCTGAGGAGAAATTAAAACGATAAATAAATTGCATTTTTAACACATTTTGAGAAAAGTTTTAGTATTGAGCAATATTTTAACAAGCAGAATGTCCGAGCTTATGCACAAAGCTCTATTGAAGCGTAGCAATCCGTCAGCAGAGTACAACGTATGCATTATCCGACTTCAGTGATGGTTAGCTCCGCCAAGAGTGTTAGCTTTTAAGGAGTGACAGAAACATGTTTTTTGTGAAAAAGGTGTTAAAATATGGGCACATATGTATCAAGATACGATTTTTAAGGTAGTTAAGCCTCTTTATAAATTTATAATATTTAGCAGACTCATAAGAAGTACTCGTATACACACAATGGAAAGTAAGCTCCGTGTAGCTCGACTGCATTTACGAAGACAATGGTTACCATATGAGTTTTATTAGAAATCTAGTTCTATACCAAATAATGTACAAATAAATGGATAGCTGAACTAAGTAATCCTTGGGCATTCAGATATTGGCAAATATAAACATAGGAAGTAATTCAAGAAAACATACGATTCCAAAACCTTATAGATAGGTATAATTTAAGATAATCGGTTACTTAAACTAATATCAAAATAAATAAATAATTTTAATCTAGATATAATTAATAATCTAATAATAACTTCACACATCTCACACACGGCCGTCTGATTCCAAACTATGCAGAGCCTGTGCTATGGTAACCAGACTACTGATAAACATACTTATGTATTTCTAAATACATAGTATAGATAAATTACACCCACACACAGAACAAATCATCAATTAAAATACCTAAGAGGGCTTGTGATCCAAATTACTTGTATTACACAACAATTTTGAATTACGTAATAAATATTGTGGATATCATGTTATTTACACCGATGGATCCAAGACTACTAATTTATTAATGAGTCAGTCAGTTATTTGGTTTTTTTATTGTAAAAAGGTACGTTGGGATGATAAGTAAAAAAGAAGTGTGTCAAGATAAGATTCTTAAGAATTTTAAGAACAATATGTTTCTTTCAGCCAAACTCAGCACCGGGTCATAAAGCTCCATCCATCCAAGGTTGGAAACGAACTAATAATGGCCGTCACCTAGTCAGAGTCTTAATCCGTATGATTATGATTTATGGTCAGTTTTAGAGAGTACCTAATGCATGCTCTATCTATAGGCAATGATAATTTGGAGATCCTAAAACAATCCATAAGATTGGTAGTGAAGAATTTTCTCATGGAGAGTGCGCGTGTTTCTATTGATAACTGGCCTCAATGTTTAAAGGACTCTTGTAAAGCCAGTGGAGATTTTTGAATGAGCTTCATATATTTTAATGCTAATATATTAATGTATAAACTAACACACATTGCAGTAATACATGTTTTATGCAATAGAAAAATAATCCTTGCAACAATATTAATAGCAAGACTAGGTATTGGGACTAATCCCACCCAAACGCCCACCACTGTAACTCCTGTACACTAGGATCCACAGCAGTGACCCACGAACACACCGAGTTATGACACTCGGTAAGTCCCAGGAAGAAATTAAACTGTCTTGGAACCCGCAACGAAATTAATCAGAAGAAAATTGGAGGAGTTGGAAATACAGTAAATCCACTTCCCTCCTTAGCAAAGCGGGAGACAAAATGAAGTAAAATAGGCATACACCCTTTTAAACAGGGAAGCACCACGGCCACAAAATATTACGGGTCCTACATGAGCTATATTTGATTTCTATAATATGTATGGCAGAATCGCCTAAACGCACGGAAATTCACCCTAGTTGACACAAGATCCCCATAGTATACCGCCCCAGATGTCACCTGCAAGCTATTCAGCATTATATTACGTTCATTATACCAAAGACTACATTCCCAGAGGGTATGATGAGCATATTGTTCATAATGAGAGTTAGGTGTTGAGCATTGACACAATGGTGACTCCACTAATTTAAATGAATACAACTTGCTTTTAAAGTTACCATGACCCGTAAGAAATTGTGCGACACAGTGATCCACCTCAAGCCATGTCCTCGACAACCGTTCGCGAACTGATGGAAAAAATTGGTGAAGATAGCGCCCCTTGGATGATTCGTCCCAGCGTTGCTGCCATTCGTCTATGAGGTTATTATAGACATCGGACTGCTGTTGAAGCAATCTTGTAATTTTACCGAGATCCCGCGCGCCCAAGAAATCGCATTCCATGTTTTGTCTTGAATAGTACATGGCTGCACGTCTCTGCACCTCGAGATCGACCGGAAGCACACCCGCCAACACCGGCAAAGCCTCAGTGCTAACCGTCCTATATGCCTTGCACAAAAATATCAGTGCAAGTCGTTGGCCTTGTAACAGTTTGCGACGGACAGCGCCTACGGTCGCCCTATCGGCCCATACAGGTGCACCATAGCACATAGAACCTAAATAAGTAGCTCCGTATATGATCTTTAATGTATTAAATGATAGACCCCATGTCGCAGTTGATCCTTGTCAATGCACAGAAACTCTTTTTAGACTTTTCATTAACTATTTTAATATGTTCGATAAATGAAAAGTTTCTTTCTAAAACTAATCCTAGATAACACACTGTGGTTTTATTTTTTACAGTAACATTGTCAAATCTAATGCTCGGCGGTGATTTGAGGTTACCTTTTAAAAGTAGCTGGAAGGTTTTGTTGGGTGCAAAAGTTAAGCGATTACGTTCACCCCATTGAGATATCAAGTTCAAACATCTATTGGCTAATCTCTCAAGCCCCGCCCTAGCATCAGATTCCACCAGTAATAAGCCGTCATCAGCATACGCGTTCAGAGTACATCCGGATGGTATTGGTATCGCAAGAAAATCGTCGAAGCCGATATTCCACAAGTATGGACCTAGCACCGATCCCTGAGGACATCCCATTGTAAGCGCCTTCGACACAGAATGATGACCAAGTCTTAGTTTAGTTGTACCTTGTGAAAAGTACGAAGAGATAAGGGAATAAATATTTTTAAAGCACCCCCGTGATTTTAATTTCAGCAACAGCATGGGCCACCATGCGTTGTCGAAGGCGCCAGATATATCTAAGAAAATAGCCAGCACGTATTGAAATTTTGACCCTGTGACAAACTTTCTAAGCGATATAACAGCGTCAGTTGTCGATTTACCCAACGTAAATCCAAATTGTCTATCATGAAATTTGACTCCACCTGGCAGAAGCCGGGGCACTCCGGGACACAAGACGTTCTAAAAGCTTTCCTAACGATGGTAACAATGTGATTGGTAGGTAGGATTTAGGATCATCCGGTGGCTTGTCGCCACTTTTTGGTATTATACGAATATTACCGCACCGCCATATACGAGGAAATATTCCTTCAGCAATGCAACGTTTAAAGACAGTGAAAACCGTGTCACCCGAAAGTTTACAAGCTTCTTTTATCATTTTGTTAGATATTTTATCATCGCCCGAAGCCTTGTTTAGCGGCAAGGATCTAATGATATCGAGAAATTCGTCTGAAGATGGTAAATCAGACATTGGAGACAGTGGTGGTTCGATGGCCCACTGCCTGATCTGTCGGTGATAATCAGTGTCGTTTTCCGGTCGATCGTCAGGTACGAGTGAGTCTAAAAGATATTCTGCTGTTTGTTCTACTCCTGTGGTATATCTGTTATTAATTTTGATGTTCTGTATGTATGCAAGGTCGATTGATCTATTTGCCTTAAATTCGTGATACAAAGGTGACCACGGGCCCTCTCTATCGAGTTTATCAACAAGTTTCTGAATTAAGTTTCCCTTGGATTTTTCCACAGCAGCTCTGTAGTGGGACCTGGCAACTCTAAGAGCAATGAGAGCATTGTTGTACAAATCTCCTGTTACGTTATGTTTTTTAATAGTGTTTAATTTTCTACGAGCTTTCCGGTAGCTTCTACGTAGTTCGGCTAATCTATCATTCCACCAATCACATCTACGAGTGTTAGTGATAGATCCGCGACCAATAGTTAGGTAAGACTAGGTATATTGTAGAATACGATAACCAAAACAAAAAATCTTACCAACAGCAACGATTCTGTCACCAAGTAGACAGGAACCTATAGCATCTCTCCCATAAGAGAGACGTGCTAAAAGCACCCACGTATCTGCTACTGGGTCATATCGTTCCACACAACCCAACCGCCCTCCTACGGTGTTGGCCGGTGCCTCGTGACCTCCCATGGCGTACAGAAATCCTCCCGCAGCGCAAACCTGTGGGAATTTAACTGATGAGGTGGACAAATGGCAAATGACTTTACTTTGATATTTTGTTTTGAAATAGACGGCTATTGTGATATACCTATTCATATTTAATTTCTCAATAGTATGTTCCAGTCGCGTTAGATAATAGGCTAGTTGACCCAATTTGAAAACTTGTTTAATTATATACTTTAATATCTATTTTATCCCAAAAAACCTTTATTTTAAAGAAAAAGCAATATTTACATTACGTATTTTGTATTTAAAAAAAACAATTTAAATTTCTATTGAAAACGCTGAATAGTGTCATGGCGTCTTGAATGACGTCAAAGTCTGCGAAAAAAACTGTTTACATGTGTGTCCAGCGTCAACTGTGTTCTAAAAATGAATAAAGAATAAGGAGTAGTAGTTTGTATGAAAACGTCAACAAGAATAATGATGTTTTGCGTGGCGTGAGGTAACACTTTCTGATTGGTGTTCGCTGTCACGTGACTTAATGCCTATTTTGTTAGATTTTTTTTTTAAATATTAATAATCTTCAACTTTTATAAGAAATAGACTGTTTTTTTCTTATCTATGTCTCTTCATTTATAATTTGAAACTATAAACCAAGCCTATTGTGATGCATCGATCACAATTTTTTATTGCCCCGCCCCTGACCAATCAGGTTCCATTTTCGTACGAAACGATAATTTCTTGATCTCAAATGCATCATAATCTGTTCATCTTATAATATAAATTATCCTATAAATATATTTACCATAATGATTAAACGCGTTAATAATACATCATCGCAATAAATATAATTAAAACACACGAGCTATGTACTACAAGTAAACTACAAGCTGTTTGAAATGTAAAATTGGCTTAACACAGTTTCCGCGAACCGATACGATCGGATTCGAGGCGACGCACAGTAGCGTGTTCGCCCTATTTAGACGCCAAAAATTCAAGTCGTAAAGTGAAAGGTCTAGAAGCATGGAATTTATTACAAATATCGTTTAGTTGACGTACTTGTGCACGGTGCAAAAAAGGATTTAAAAAATTCCACCTCTAAGGGTGCAAAATGGGATTGGAAATTTAAATTGATTTCGCTATTTTTGGTAGTAGCGTTTACCTAAACAGCTGGGGTTACAAACTTGAAATTTTGGCAGCTGATGCTTTTTATGTTGTAAGCACCCACTAAGAAAGCATTTTAGTAAATTTCACCCCTAAGGCTTTCAAATAAGGGATGGTTAGTTGTATAAAAAATCGTTATTTTCAAAGTTAGAAACACGAAATAGCAAATAATCACGCGAGCAAAGACATGGGCAATAGATAGTACAAAATAAGAACATAGATTGTATAAATTAGCGTATTGAAATATCCTTGTCTTAGTTGTAACGTTCATTTTTATCGTACATATTTCAAAAATGTAGATACACTAATACTACGTTTCCTATACTTGTTTAATTTATTTTACAGGCAGCCCAAATTAATTCTGATAATGGACACTTTTACTATTAATTAATAACCTATCACATTATTAAACATTTTAGTTTTAAATTTTAAAATTAATTCGTCGTGTTGCAAAATATTATTGAATTGATCACTTGAAACGGTTTCAGAGAAAATAACATTTTGGTGGCTAAATACATTAAACACACTACTGTGCTACGAGTATGTGATCCAACGGAGAAGGGAGTATACTGACGCTGACGCCGCCGCGGCGGCGGGTCATGGGCGCGCAGTTGGTCCAGTAGTTGGTCGCGGGGTCGTAGCACTCCACGGAGCGCAGGCAGGCGCCGCCGTCGCGCCCGCCCACTGCGTACAGCTTGCCGCGCAGCGCCGCCACGCCGCACGTGCTGCGCGCGCCCGTCATGGGCGACACCATCGTCCACGTGCGCGAGCACGCGTCCCACCTGCCACACATTGTATCCACACCTCTATTCGAACCACTACTCTGCCGTGCCAATCCACAAGACTGTAACTCGACTTACAGTGTTTTGCCTTAACAACGCTCAATTAGTTTCTTTACATCGGTTTAGTACCCCTGATCGACACTTGTTATTCTAAAGTGTATTTTAGAAGAAGTATTTTAAAAGAAAACCCTAATTTCAATACTGTATTGTATTGAAATTTAAAATGTTACAGTCGATTGACACGGCAGTACTGTTTTTATGATACCTCTTTACCTATAAAGTTTGACTTTTTAAAAGCAGCATTTTCAGATTTAATTATCTGTAGATTGGCGCGCATTCCAAATGCAAATAAATTTTATTCGAAAGCCATGTTATTTTAATTTTATAGTTAGTCATTTGTTTTGGATATTGTAGTTTCTGGCGCCATGGATATACTGAAAGTTCTGCAATTTTGGATATGAGTTCCTACATGGAAATATAGCTGCGCAACCAATACGAAACCAGACGACAACGATGAATCGAAGGCGATGGTGGAAGAGGATTCAACTCTATCTACGACTGAGCTAGATTAAAGTTAGTGTCAAAACAACATTGAAGCATGCGTCAAATCGGAAAGATTAAAAAGTTAGATAAGTGAGTGCCACACGACCTAAGCGACCGAAGCATGCATAGCGATACTGAATCGGCATAGAAACGAGGGAATTCTGGATCGAATTGATATCTGCGATGAAAGTAGATCCTGTACGACTCTGTAAGAATTATACAGTCAGTATACTAAAAAAAATTACCCAGACAAACGTGATGGTGACTGTCAGGTGGACCAGACTTGTGTATCACAGCTTCTTACCGAATGGCACAACAATGACGGCAGATGTCTGTTGGCAAGAATTACAAACAATAATGGAGCAGCTGGCAATTCCACGGAAAAACCACGACTGATCAATCGCTCTTTCCCATGGCTTCAACGCCGACCTCACACTTCACGACAGACCATCGCAAAGCTACAAGAGTTACAGGAGACTTGGCTCCCAACAGATTTCCAGCTTTTTCAAAATTTAGACGATTTTATAAGTGGGAAAAAAGTCAACACCCGAGAGGCAATACAAAACCCTTTCGCTGACTTCAACGCCTCCCGTGTAGCAGGATTCTTCAGATAAACAAAATACCATCAAAATGGCAAAATTGTATACATAATTTGGGCCCGCACTTTGATTAGCTAAAATAAAAAATAACCAAAATTTTTAACCTATAAAATTGTCAGACAAATCTCTAACTTCACAAATATGTAATGTACAGCCCTGGCCAAAAGTATTAGGCACCCCAGAAAAATGTACAATTCATGTTTACTGAACAATGAATAAATGCTTATCTTAGATGGCATGCCGGGGTCACAAATAACTTCCTAGAAAAGCAAGCAGCTATCTGTTATGGTCATAAAGTATTTGTTTTTATGCCTTCTTATCAGTCAATGTTTGGTCACTTGTGTTCAGGACTCTAACGAGTAAACAAGCTTTTATTTCTAACATAGTGATTAAATTGACGCGTAATTTATTTAAAAATGCCGAAAAGAAGTGAATTTAGTTTGGAAAACCGAGTAAAAATACAACTTTTCCATGTACAAGGGAAGTCGCAAAATGAAATTGCTAAGTTAGTGAAATGTTCGCGTTGCGCTGTGCAATCTGCTATCAAACAGTTTGCTGAGACTGGCAGTCACGCTAATAAACCAAGAACAGGCAGAAAACGTGTGACTTCGATAGAAAATTAATACGCGAATCTATGAAAGATTGGAAGAAAACATCATCAGAGCTTGCTGCTTTGTCCGAAGAGGCTGGAAAGCCAATAAGTGCTCGGACCACCAGAAGAAGACTTGGAGAAGCAGGCTTAAAAGGATGCAAAGCCAGGAAGAAGCCCTGGCTTTCAGGAGCTAACAAAAGAAAACGACTTGAATGGGCCCAATCTTCCTCAGTAAAATGTTGATGCCGTAGAGCATCAACATTTTACTGAGGAAGATTGGGGCAATGTGGTATGGTCTGACGAATCTAACTTTGAGGTAAGTAAATTTTACTGCTTTTGTTAATAATCATGGTCAGTTATTTATTTAACTAAAATAATAAAAGTTAAGGTAGTTTAAAAAAGTGTTTTGTTTTTCTTTTTTCAACAGATATTTTTGGAACGCCAGGTGTGACCTTCGGCGAAGACTACCATCCAGATTGCGTCGTACCGACAGTAAAGCATAGAGGAGGCAGCATAATGATCTGGGGCTGCATGGCTACTGATGTGGTTGGCGAAATGTTTGTTTGCCAAGGTCTTATGAACAGCGGAAAAGTACATAAAAGTGCTTAAAACTGCGCTTATGCCTTCGCTAACGAGTATTTTCGGCGATACCAACTTAGAGGGAGTTATATTCCAGCAAGACAATGCACCTTGTCATAAGTCAGCGACTACGATACGTTGGTTTACTGAAAACAACATTGACTTGTTTGATTAGCCAGCGCAGTCACCAGATTTGAACCCAATTGAACATCTTTGGACCATTTTGAAGCGCAAGATTAAAGAGCATAGTATCACATCGAAAACGGCATTAAAAAATGCGTTAGTACAAGGTAGGATTCTACTAAGCATGCCAGCTAGAATTAGTGCAGTAATTAAATCCAAAGGTGGACCGACTAGATTTTAGGTCTTTTTCATTTTTTTTGTGTAATTTAATGGAAATAAATCAATTCAAAAAGTATAAGTTGTTTTTTTCCTTTATTTTAAGTAAAATGTAGGGTGCCTAATACTTTTGGCCAAGGCTGTATACTTAGCCTGGCCAAAATATTGTTACAATTAAAGAAAACAATATTATATTGGCATTTGGAATCTGTCATTCTTATATGAATACATTGTTATACAATGAAATACATTGTTTTTTCATTTTCGCGCCAGTCGGTGTTAAATATTTTTGTGATATTAAAATGGGGTGGGATGATAAAGAAAACCGTATTGCTGTGATAGCATTACACAAAGTAGGTATGGAGCCAAATGCAATTTTTGAAACTCTCCAATGTTTATGTACCGGGCAATTGATAGGTACAATAAAAACCCTCTGTTAAACTTAGGACTTGCAGTCTGTAAGAGATGCTTTGGTCATTATTTAACTGATGAACAAGCAGAATGACCGAGTTTATGTCTCTATAGAAGCCAATTAGTCAGCGTCAATACAACGTAGGCATTATCCGACTTCAGTGATGGTTTGGTGGGGTGTTAGCTATCCAGGAGTGTCTGAGCAACATTTTTATGAAAAAGGTGTTAAAACATCAAGTGTATCAAGATACGATACCTGAAGACGTGGTTAAGCATCTGAACAACGCCATGTTCCATAACCAAGAATGGTCTCTTCAAAAAGACTCAGGACCAGGTCATAAAGCATGAACCACCCAAGCGTGGTTGGAAATTGAAAAGGAATTATGGCATACTGTAAAAGCCAAAATAATTTAGTCTCCAAAATAATTCATAAGATAGGCAGTGAAATTTTTTTCCAAGGAGAGAGTGCGTGTTTCTGTTATTACGCTTAAAGGACTATATATATAAAATATAGTACAAAAATAAAGATTTTTCCTTGTAACAATATTAATGGCAAGACTAGGTATTGCCATATTTTTTTAAATGTCAGTGTACTACGCTGTCAAGAAAGTACCGGGAAAAGATCAATAATACAGGAATTGTTTGTTATTCATCCAAATTTATTTTATCACCTTCAAAGTATGCTCCTTCAGAAACGATACACGTACGCCAACGAATAATCCAATCATCAAAACATTTTTTAAACGATGTTTCCGGAATTGTATTTAGTTCTCGCCGCGAATTCTCCTTTGTGTCTTGATAAAGTCGGTTCACAGTAAGCCTTCTGTAACATTTTCAGTGACTCCAAACACGAAATTCCATTGGCGATGCAAAAATTTAAGACAAACTCTTTGTTCGATGTCTTTGTCCATTATGAAATTCGCAATACACACTAGATATGATATAACTAAAAAGAGCACTGTATTTAATATAAATAGCAGATGCAACTCAAACTCCGTGCCAAAATGGAAAACAGTTGTGCCAATCTAACAACAACAAAAAAAAACAAAAATTTGAATTTGGAACCATAAACAAATCATCCATTCCCGATACTTTTTTGACTGAATGTATGTATTTTTTTGCAGAAATCGATTATAAAACCGAAAAGAAAATCCTACGACCAGATTCACGAAGTATATCGATACATCCTTATTTAATTATTTTGACTTCTACACAGATAAAGCAGAGCATAAAAAAAAAGAATTAATTATCTTCTTTTCCTTTTTAAAAGACAACAACTCGTTATGAATATTTCCTGTGTCGCGGGGTACTTTACAAATATGCATACATTATCTTTATATCTATTAGCTTTTAAGAATGAATTACCGTTCTACTGAATTCAAGTATATCCATCCATCGTGTCCTCCCACAGCATACACGGGCGAGTTTGCTCCTTCTCCTAAGACTGCTACCCCCAGCCCATGCCGGTGTGTGCTCATAGGTGCCAGGACGCTCCAACTCAAAGATGACAGATCAAAACACTCCACCTGCCCAATGAATCAAAATATATATGTGTGTTACATTTAAAACTCTTAACGGGTTATAAATATTTTAAACCGACAAAATCAGTCAAAAGTACGGTTACGTGTAAGTTAATGTTCGTTAATATGGAATGAAATACCTTTAGATGTCTTTAGAGACTTTATTTGGCAACACACTTAAATAACTGCAATCAATATTTCATAATGATCTAAAATGATACTAGGAAATTATAATAGTAAACAATTTCCAATCTTATGAGTTAGAATATTTTGCCGTGTGGAACAATGTCGAAAAGTTGCGACCGATACTAGTCCGAACAATTCCTTGGAGCACTCTCCATGATATATACGATAGAGAATGCAGAGTGAAACTATATCTCTACGTAACGAAAAAGGATCGAGCCGATCGGAGATCTTTGGGCTATCGACGATTCGAGTCGGTCTTCGTTAAATACGAGAGAGTTCTTTGCGCTGTTAACGAACTCTCTTTTCGAAGCTTCGTGATGTTTCGTGACAGTACTTTTACGTACACTTACTGTTATATCCTCATCTAACCCAAATGATTCGTCAACAATAGAGGAGATCTGGCGTTCGGCGGCCGCTGCCGAAACACGCACGCTCCGCTCGGTCGGAATGTCACCACGCCTATTCATCCCGTGGGTGTCGTTAGAGCCGACTAAGGGACCAAACTACAAGACAACAGCACTGCAAAGAGAAGGAAATCTTAAAACAAACCCTATACCAACCCGTCTGGCCAGCGTGGTATGATAGGCCAAAATCTCATTTCGAGAGGCCTATGTCCAGCAGTGGACTATAATAGGCTGTTGATGTGATGATGAGATGGTATCTGACGCAGCAGTCAAAAGTACTATTTCCCAATTCCGATTAATAGACTGTTAACCGATGATGATGATACTTGGCAAGGACAGACCAAATGCAATTTCGGCCTAAGATACATTTTGATAACATTACATAATATTTGCGTAGATTTTTGTTAGATTTCGATGGTATGATGAAATAGAAGACTACATATTTGGGGTAACAATTTGTCTTACAGAAGACAGCCATTAACCACTGCCAAGAACTACAAATTTATTAGAATTTTGCAACACCTGGTTACTTATACATTTGGATGTTAGCAAGGAGAGTTGTATAGCAGTGGACATCTTTTGGCTGAGATGATGATGGATAATGGATATTTATATACTTATAACTCAGAAGTGTTATATGTACTTCTAAAGTATAGGTGCCATTAAAAGTAACTAGTTCTATGTCTGTGAAGATGAAAATAAAAAGTGAGATTAACATAAAGTACAAAAATTCCTAAAAATAATGTTTATTTTAGAATAACGAATTGTAACGGTGCATTTCGCACCATTACAGTAAATTGAATCATAGACGTGTTTTTGGTTTGTTAGTTGAATTTTATGACGTTTCAGCGAGTGCCGATAGTCGATGCTGATCGTCTATGGTAGTTATCGATTTAGTTTCTCTTGATCTGGCAACATTTGGACGCGTCATTGTTAAAAGGCATTTATGGCGTCACATTAGCTTTGGTCCGAGTCGAAGAAGTTTAGATTTTTAAAATGTAGTCTTTTTGTTGTAACGAGGGCTTATTTATTATTTTTGTTATTTGGCCAACCTCGTTAAAGACTCAATTATATTGTTCGAATTGTTATTTTTCATTAAAAGGTAAGTCTTGTTAAGCCACGTGCTTCGTACTTGGCTTGTCGAGATTAGTTGTTCTAAATCTTTGTTTGTTTGGTTACAGGGTATATTTATAATGCCGCTGCTTAGTTTGTGAAACATTTTGGGACCCTGGTGAGTAAACTATTGTATCTTGCCAGATTTAGGATTCATCTTTTGAAATAGGCAAGTAACCTATAATTCTCATTTGTTGCAGATGAATCAGGGTCTTTGGTTTATCTTTAGTTTAATTCTAAATTTTTAGTTTAATTCTAAATCTTTTGTTTAAATCTAAATTTTCTATTTATACCTTAAATTCTTATTGGATTGGAATGTCATTGCGTGACATTTGGATTTTGTCTCTCTGCCGGCCTGACCCAAGGGTTTAGTTTGCTGCGGAGCACCTATAATGGTAGAAAAAGCTGTTTAGCTGCAGTCCATTATCAGGAGCCTTGGAATGCTACCCCGCCTCTTCCACCACGTGGGACCGGAGTGAGATGTTTTAGATTTGGTTTGATTTCTTTTCATTCGGACTGAGCCAAGGTCATTTCATTGGGTATGTGTTTTTATTAATTTGTTGGCGTTGTGGCGTCGGATACTGCAGGCCCCCCAAGGGGTGTTATTTTTATTAAGGGAGTAGGACGATGCTACAACTACCCTTAGATTCATTTCTTATTAAGTCTTTATGTGACTCTTAAAACATATTTAATTTTAGTTTGGTTTATTCATTTAATTGAAAAGGATTGCATTAACGACAGTACTAATTTGAGTATAAGAATTACCTATTGTAATTAGAGTCCTAAGATACTTTGTACTCTACAGACACTACGGGATAATAAACTGCCACTAGAACTTAACATCTTTGTATTTATTAGCTGACCCCCGTCCTAGATTAAAGGTCTAGCGCTGACCGAGTTGTCCGAGGCATTTATTGTGTTTGTGGTTGGTTCTGTGTTCTTTTAAGGTGGTATCTGGCGCCCGAGATTTTTAGTTTGTTAGTATTTGTGATGCCACCAGTTAGTTTTGTTTGTTCATAACCGCAGACCAAACACACATATAAATTTTTTTAATTTTTTAATATTACAGAATAAAGAACTGTTAGGAATTATATTTATAATGTTGATAAATGTACGTAAATAAGTTATGATTATCAAATAGATTAAATCAGCAGCATTAGCAAAAAATGTATACGATATTTTTCTTGTGGCAGCACTGACATCATGCGCTCGCACCCCACCATTAACAAAGGGTGAGAGAGGAGTCGTGGAGCGCTGAAGTCATTGTTGTAGGCAGTCTTATCGGAGAAGTCGCGGCAGTCAAACAAGTATTAAAGTAAAGTGTATGAATCGAGTAAATTATAATCATTTGAAGTTTTGATTGCTTTATATCATTTACTTAATTTAACGCAGACGTTATGAAATATTGTCATTAATTTAAGTTTTCTTCCAAAACTTAGCGTCTAATAAATTATGTGGCAATTACCGTATTTAGTGTTTTCAGTCCATCTCTACCCCCCACAACAATCAGTTTATTTTGTAAGACTGCTACGCCAAACTGTAATCTTCTTGCGCCCATTCTCATAAACGGAGTCCATGTATTCGTTCGAGGATCATACATTTCCATATTACTTGCACCCTGAAACAGAGACACCATATACAGATAACAATTGGATTTCCTTGTTATGTCGGCTTATTGAGTGTCGCAAGAGAAATCACTTTTCTTTCTTCAAATCTATTTATAATATTTGTTGCAGATCAATTTTAAATTATTAAATACTACTAAATATAGAAGAATTTGTATAGTTATATTTAAATCTGTTCAAATTTACAAGTATCAACACAAAATTTCTTTATTTGTCTAGATCACAATGACAATTTATAATTCAAATTATTACTTTATATCCATCCATGCCACCAATAGCTAAGAGACGTCCAATGGTTGAAGTCCTGGGCCTAGTTCGATGTGAGAAAAGAAGAGATCTCCTTTCAGGGAGGAGATGCCATTTCACAGCCTCCATAATCAATGGTTGGCACTCTGGCACATTACCACAGGCTAGTTCAACCTTATCTATTAAGTACTGAAAACAAAAGAACAAGAGTATAGTTGTATTCTTTGATTTAAAAGTTAATTATTTAAATGAAACTAGTTTTACCTCTGAAGAAAGTAGAGGTAACTTAATTAGTTTCAGTAAAGTTGACAAATAGTTTTCTCTGTTGGCACTATCATGTTGGACCCATGTCATGAGGCTTTCAAATACATTTTCTTCAGTAACTACATTCAGATCATCTGATTTTAAGAGGTTTGCTAACTGTTCCTCTGTTAAAGCCAGGAATTCTTGATGCTTTACCACCTGTATGACATGTACAAAGTTAATTTCAACACACAAAAATCTTTATTTTTGTGTGTTGAAATGTGTATTATTATTATGTGTTATGTAGTATTATGTTTATTTATTTACTAGCTGACCCGCGCAACTTCGTCTGCGTCTCTCAATAGTAATAAATTTTCTCCGTTTTTGAAACATTCTTCATTGGTGCTCCGCTCCTATTGGTCTTAGCGTGATGATATATAGCCTATAGCCTTCCTCGATAAATGGGCTATCTAACACTGAAATAATTTTTCAAATCGGACCAGTAGTTCCTGAGATTAGCGCGTTCAAACAAACAAACAAACAAACAAACAAACAAACTCTTCAGCTTTATAATATTAGTATAGATTTAAAAAGTTAAAATAACATTATGAATCAATATTGTATATTTATATATACATTTATATCTAATAGAATGATACTTTAAAAATTAGGATTGAGGTGACTGTATTTTATAGCACAGAGATCTCTATCCCAAACAAGGCATACAATGCCATATTTCATAATAGATGCTTTTTTTATAAATATAAATATGTAACTCTTGTTATAAACAACACATTTTTAAAGTTTCTTTCTATTCCTCATATTTTAAAAAATGATTGTGTTGCATCAATGGCAAAATGAAGAAGGATTTAATTTTTACATAAGTTAACACTCTTTAAATATTTCTTAAACAAATAGTCTTAAAAATCTGTCTGCTTAAATAATAGTAGGCAAAAAAAATATATATTTAAACCTGCATGAAGTGCTGGTATGTGTATTTTAAAGCACTTTTGTGTAAATCCAAACAGGACTGTTGCTCAGCAAACATAGCTATTCCTAGACAGTTACATGGGTCCAGCTGCTTATTTAAAAAAGCGCAACATGCTTTTGTAACAGAATTAAGCTGTAATAAGCTTGCTGTTGAAAGGAGCACCTCAACTGTTTCCTCTCTCAGTTCTGCAAATTAAAAAAAAGTCAGGATAGCTCATGAAGTTTTGTTAAACAAGATAAAAAAAAATATTATGAGAAGTACTAGCCTATTGTGCCAGTATAGCAATAGTTAACAAGGTCCTGCAGTGCTTGAGGATCAACTCGCTCAAGTGTTATTTCAGTGGTGTCCATCTGAGCTTCTTTCAGAGAACCAGTAAACATTGCAGCAAAGTACTCGCTGCTTGATGATAAGACAACTTTGTGTGCTGTGATTCTATTATAAAGAAATGTGTAGATTTAATAAATTCATATTATAGAATTAAGTAAAACTCATTGGAATAAAATCATATAAGAGTAGTAGAGAAATACAAGTATTCTAATATCAATGGATATTTTTTTAATTACTACCCAAGAAAAATAAAGTTTTGAGGCAAACTTTTTTTGAGAAACACAACTATTTCCCTCTTTTAAGTTGCATACTTATAATAATAATAATAATATAATAATAATAACTACTACTGTGTTTGTTAAGTTATATTAGCTATTTAAGGGATTGGAATCAATTAATAAATTGTTGCATTATATAACATTTAACGGGTATTCTACGGTTTCATTTATCTTGAGCAATATAACAATAATATTATTACTAGCATTAAAGTAGAAGTGAAATTAATTAATAAGTTATTATGGGTAACTTGGGTTGGTTTTGTTAATTAAATTTTGTGTTAACTGACCACATTGCCACAAGCAGTATACAAAATGAAAGTAATACACTACATAGTTTGCAAAATTATCCTTTGATCTTAGGTATACAATGAAAGCAAACATTTAATAAAGTTCACAGATCAAAGTTTGTTCTTAATATAAATCTTGGGTATGCTTTTTTATTCTGAACTATAGGGCAATAGATAATAAATAATGCGTAAAAGCCACTGGGCTTCGCATAATAAATAACCAATAGTTCTAATTTTGAACATTATGAGACCAACCCTTATTTTTTTTAATTTTAAAAACTAAAAAAGCCAAAACTTCAAGATTGTAGTCACAGAGGTTTAGGCTTTGTTGGGAATCAGTCAGCCAGGGCAAGTAATATTGTATATATAGACTAGCTGACCCGCGCAACTTCGTCTGCGTCTCTCAATAGTAATAAATTTTCTCCGTTTTTGAAACATTCTTCATTATTGCTCCTCTCCGTTTGGTCTTAGCGTGATGATATATAGCCTATAGCCTTCCTCGATAAATGGGCTATCTAACACTGAAAGAATTTTTCAAATCGGACCAGTAGTTCCTGAGATTAGCGCGTTCAAACAAACAAACTCTTCAGCTTTATAATATTAGTATAGATTAGTGCAACGTTTTAATAAGTTATCTATGAACTCGTTCTTTTCTTTACCTGGTAAGTATTAATTACATGTAAGAAAAACACTTGGAAAGGTTGGTTGATTTTTTATTAGTATTCAATGTAGTGTAATGAAATTCGAATTAGCAAAGACCACAATAAAATGGTTTTCTTTTGTGTTACAAAATGATGATGGATTGTTGACCGAATATGACTCAGGACATTAGCTGCTTCTATTTGCATATACTTTATATAATTTTTAACGAGTTTAAATGTGTAAAGATCGGTTAAATCACAATAATTGTAATTATTTTATAGAAATTATAAATAATATCCAGTGCATTTTTTAATGTTAAAGACAGTCTTTAACTTGCTATTGATCTACTAACATTAAACTGTTACTAAGATATTAATGACAAATTTTAGATACTGCTCTTTTGTTTATATACACCTAAATTATTATGAATCATCAGATATTCCTTTTGGTTGTGAAATACTGAGATTACCATTTAGATTTAAGAAAGTATATGAACAATTCTTTAGAGGAAAATGTATTTATAATGTAATAGGTAAATAAACAAACCTGCATCCTCCTGCAATGAGCGTCACGTCGCATAATTTGTGTGATTGAAAATAGTTAAATATATTTTTTAATACAGCGTCGGCATGACCTTTGTCACAAAAGAATTCTTCCGTGCTGGAAGCACTTGAAAGGCTTAACTGACTTAGCTCTCGAGGTAAACCTTCGTCAATCGAATTCGTTGACAATAATATACTGTTCTTTGAACCGTCAGCTTTTTGAGAGTCGCAACCTGACATCGTTAACGTGTTGAATAACAACAATAATAAAATGAGATTGTTTCGTCAAAAAGTAAAATTTTACACTTTACAACAAAGCAACAAACGAAAACAAAGACATCTATTTTCCTCTTTGACAAAGATTGCACGAACACTAACACAACAGTTTCAGAAACATTAGGGCTGGACCCACATATTATGCGATGTACAGAGCATTTTTTTTACAATTTTCTAAAATGGCAATACCAAGTTAGTGAGAGAGGATAGTAGAGGTAAGAAGAACCGTCTTTTTGTATAAGAAGTGTCCGTCAAAATCATAGAGATATTAGTCTAGCGAGCACACGTGGTACAGCTGCCTGTAAGTGGAAGCGATACAGGCATCGAGTGAGATGGATTTCCGATAGTTCCCTTTGTCTTAGATTAGCTAAACCGCGATTGGCTATCCTGAAGTGGACATGGTTTCGAGGAGATTAGAAATTTCCCCAGCCAACCACAGAGCTCGACTAGAAAGAGACAGAGGGTACTATCTATTTTCCATCTCTCTCGTTGCCTATATTGTAAGATTGGGGCTCTTGTTCACTCTATGCTAATATCTCTATAAATCACTAACTCCATATTAACACCACATTAGTATTTACGTTGCACCTGTGCGAAACCAGTGCGGGTCGCTAGTTCAATAAATTAAAAAATAAATAAATTAGGATTACGATGTTTTTTTTGGATAAAACATAGTATAACGCTAAACACACCGTCTCTAAGTCATGGACAGATAAAGAGGCTGGGTCAATCACTAAAATGCCTGGAGGAAAAGGATAAAGGCTCATCATTGCGCCTGCTGGCACTTCGTCAGGGTTTGTGCCCAACTGCTTATTTTCTTTTAAATCAACAAGAACTATCAAGTATCTAGAAGAAATAAATATTAGTCAAAATTCAAAGAGTTGCTCCTTAACCTCCTAAACAATCTTAATTGGCCTCATACTATTGTAATGGATAACGCTCCTTACCATTTAGTAAAAAAAGACATCGCTCCAAAAACAATAAGTAAGCAATTATAGAATGGTTGCAAAATAAAGGAGTCGAGGCCAACGAGGTCAATGTTTAAAAGAGAACTACTAGGTTAGTAGTAGTCCTAATATTCAGTTACCGTGCCACAGTGGGTTATGGATATTTATACGTTACTAAAAGTGTTTTGAAATGAATAGCATATGTGCCTATATTTCTTACTACTATTATAATCATATTTATTTCAAGTTTTCTATCCAATCTAAGATAGGTATGTTATGTTTTTTACAGGTCACGCAATCACATATAATGTCGCGCCGCCGTTCACAGGAAATAAAATGTTAACATTTTTAAATAACACTTGAATAAAAGTAACGCCAGAAGACTGGAAAAAAGTAGAAAGAAGCCAAAGAATTATCCAGGCAGACTACAACGAGGAGTACAGTTCGATTTAGTTTGTGATCAAGAACTTATAATTATTCTTCAGGATTGTTCCAGCGACGACGACTAAAGACGATAATTTGGGTTGTACGACTATATAAAAGTTAATTTAAAATATTTATTTGTATAAATGAAACAAATCAATCGAATACAATCCATACATTATGGAGTGTCTGCAAGGAGAACTATGGTGGCGCATGCGGTAAATATATATCATCATCATCATCATCATCAGCCTATCGCAGTCCACTGCTGGACATAGGCCTCTCCCATTGCACGCCACTTAGATCGATTTTGGGCTTCTCGCATCCAGCTCCTGCCAGCCATCTTGCGCAAATCGTCACTCCACCTGGCCTGTGGGCGTCCTACACTACGTTTGCCGAGACGCGGTCTCCACTCAAGAACTCGTTTTCCCCAACGGTTATCGGTTCTGCGGCTAATATGGCCAGCCCACTGCCACTTCAGCTTGCTGATCCGGTACGCTATATCGGTGACCTTAGTTCTCTGCCGGATCACCTCATTTCTGATGCGATCCCTTAGAGAAACGCCGAGCATAGCCCTTTCCATAGCACGTTGAGCGACTTTGAACTTGTGGACCAGCCGTACCGTAAGTGTCCACGTTTCAGCTCCGTATGTCATGACGGGTAGGACGCACTCATTAAAGACTTTCGTCTTAAGGCACTGTGGGATCGACGATGAGAAGACTCGACGTAGCTTCCCAAACGCTGCCCAACCCAACCGAATTCTTCTGTTCACCTCGTCCTCGAAGTTGTTTCTACCTAACTGCAATGTCTGCCCGAGGTACACATAATTTTGAACAACTTCGAGAACGGCACCGTGTACCGCAATCGGTTCCGGTAGTACATGTTCGTTGAACATGACCTTGGTTTTATCCAAGTTCATCCGTAGGCCGATGCGTACAGAAGTGTCAGCTAAGTCATTCAGCATTTGCTGTAGGTCCTGCAACGTCTCTGCCATGATGACGATGTCATCTGCAAATCGCAAGTGAGAGATGTATTCGCCATTGATATTGATGCCACGCCCTTTCCAGTGCAGCGTCTTGAACATGTCCTCCATTGCATTTGTGAACAATTTCGGGGAAATAACGTCCCCTTGTCTCACTCCTCGATGCAATGGTACGGGCCTTGTTTGCTGATTCTGTACTTGGACGGACATGGTGGCGGCTTCGTAGAGACATCTCATCACTTGGATGTATCGCCAATCTACTTGGCAACGCTGCAGGGACTCCAGAACAGACCAGATCTCGATCGAGTCAAAGGCTTTCTCATAGTATATATAGAAATATATATAGGTAGGGTAAATTTAAATTGGCTTAAATAATAATTAGACACTGTGTACTAGATTGAGAAAATAGTTAATGAGTTTTAGAGACAATAAATAAAAGTGTTATAACTTTCAGACAGTAAAACTATTTTAATATTTTAACTCAGCACACTTCACTCCGTCTAAAACAGCTATATTCATATCGTAGCTCTTCGTACGCTAGCGACCTTTATTTTCAGTATACAGCTGGACACTTTTTCAACTTTCTCTCCTTAAGAAATAATTATCCTTGTCTCTACAATTTATACCATACATTAATCGATAGCTAGTTATGTCATAGCAATAATCATTGTTTTGTAACATCAAAATAACATAAACATAAACAAAACTTTAAACTTAAACATAAATTTTACCAAATAGAGATACAAAAACCCTATTAATTATATTTAATTAAGAGTACAGGTAACGAAAACCGTCTCATATGGGGGGAAAGTTGAAAAAGTGTCTAGCTGTATACTGAAAATAGAGGTCGCTAGTGTAGCCAAAGGGAATGATATTAACATAAGCAAAGCAGTTATAGACGGAGTGAAGTTAGTGAGTTAAAATATTATCGTTTTGTTTGTCTAATTGTTATTTGCCAATAAAAAATTACACAATGTTTTTCTTTTAGTGTTCATTTCTCTATTATACTCTAATAACTTTTAGCACTTTCCTTTAAAAATATCCTGATCCTATAGCACGCCAATTTAATACAGCTTCCCCTTACAGGCAGCTGTACCGCGTGTTCTCTCTATGCTTATATCTGTATGGAGTGATTAATTATATTATTATTATTATGATAAGTCTATACTGTAGTATAGTCTTATCCTAAATATTGTATAGAAAGATATCCTGTAGGACACTTTTATATACAATATTAATTGACACGCCCCTCGCCTCCTGACTGCTGACATCCGATACGTCCGTATCGGATGTCAGCGGATCGGATGTCCGTATTGCCCGACGACCGCTCCACGCCTGCATTTTAAATCTCTGATACTTCTAAAATATTCATTTAAGTGATATGCTGTGAATGGTAATTTCTCTCACTCTTTGCATCCAACTCGACTTTAAAGCACTCTTTTCCTTCGATATTCATAAGGCGAGTGGACCCGATGAAATTTCTCTTATCGTGTTAAAGACGTGTGTTCCAGAGTTGGCATCGGTTTTAAGTCGCCTTTTTCGACTCCATAGGCGTCGTCCCGAACTCCTGGAAGGTTTAGTTTGTGCACTCGTCCCTTAAAAAAGGAGACCGCTCTGATCCGTCCAACGACAGGCTTATAGCCATAACCCCCTTGTTCTCTAAGATTATGGAACCCTTATTAACTACCGGCTCCTCCGGTACTTAGAAAATCACCAGCTTCGACCGACAACATAGTTTTTGCCGGGGTCGCTCAGCTGGTGATCTTCTCGTCTGTCTAATACACCATAATAACATAATGCACAGGCGATTGAGAGCAAGGAAGATGCTTGTGTTAGCTTGGACATAGCGAAGACCTTCAATTGGCATAAGGCGCTTCTCTCCAAGCTCCCTTCCTATGTGCCTGTTATATGTTGTAACTGGGTCACCAGTATCTTTGCAGAACGAAGCATTAAGGTCGTTGAAATCTGTAAATGTTAGTGTCTCGCAAGACTGTGTGCATATCAATGACATATTGCAAACTGGTAGCATCCATTGCTATGCAGATGACAGTACGGAAGATGCCCTTTATAGCGGCCACCTCAATATTTCTCGTCATCGAGAGTCGAAACAAACTTGTGTCTGAATTTAAACCTTAGCAGAGTCTAGGCATCGACATTTTTTTAAAGGTCCAAACCATTTTTGCAGAAAGAAGATCTATATGCGGAGTCCAAGATAACTTGGTTCATCAAGTTGGACTCCGAGGTATCTTATGCTATTAACTTTTTCGAGTTGTGTACAGGGACGGTCAATGAATTTTGATTATGGCAAGTGTGTATATTGACATTATTTACTCGTAGATTTGGCTGATTGTGTTTGGTGATGTAGAAAGTAATATATTTGGATTTAGTTGATTCAATGTCAAGAGGTTTCCCTTTAACCATAACGAGGTCTGGTGGACTCCTTTTTCTGCATATAATTGCACCTCAGCCCAAGTCTCTCACTGAAATATGAGCGCTGTGTCGTCAGCATAAGAGAAAACAGTGCCGTTAGTTTGGTTGTACAGGCAGAGTTCATTGATGTAAATGAGGAAGAGTGTGTGGTATTGCGGAATGTTGATGCGGTTTTGCGGATT